CTAGCTCATGACCCTTCTCTTCCCATGGGTAAGCAAGATCGTTGTTATGATGAGAAAGCTGAGTGTTAATTAGAGCTGAAAGAGGATAGATGACAGTGTCGTCGCTGCCGTTGAGGCGTCTTAAAACGTCGCTGTATTCCTTGTGGTAAATATCCCTGCCATTTGAGGTGCCCGTAACATAAATCTTGTTCCTAAATCCTAAATTTTCGGTTACATATTTCAGCCATTCCATCGACGCAGATTTACTGTTTTGAAGAAGGAGTTGTACAGTTGCCGAACTTTTTGTAGGGCCATAATAATCCTTTAATAAGTGACTGTTCTCATCAAGCTTTTTGGACATTCCTTGAGTCCTGCCACAATGACCAATTTCACTTAAATATCCTTTGGATATGTGATCCGCGATTTCTTTTGACAGTTGATGATACCAAATGTCCATGTATCCATAATCCATCTCTTCCAAGAACCTGACTATCAGTTCTCCCTCCTTCTCCTTTGTGGATATAAGTGAAATCAATGTTGGAAACTGTTTCTGATCCATCAGAGTTTTGTCGTTGTAAATGTAGGTAACCGTTGGGATGTAAAATGAGGTGGTCTGCCGTGCAAATATTTCGGAGTAAAGTCCGTGGTCAATCCCTATAACACCAATAACTTTTTTATTTGATCCAAGCTTGTTAGAAATTCTGTTTGTAACAATACCACTGTCACAGTTGATATAAATCTCGTACCCCAGAGAGATCCCCTTTAATCTGGAGTAACAATTGTTAGTTCATATGCATAATATGTGCACTAACTTTCAGTTTATTAGTGAGCAAAAGAAATTGCATTTGGCTCCTATTTAAATGGTATATAAATGGTAAAATGGCATTCTTAGCTATAATTTGTGGAGGCTTTGGGAGCATTTTTTATAATAAATTTGGAACGAAATAATTGGTCTGCAAAAAATTGTCTTGCTACAATTGTTGTAAACCAAATTTGAAGCCACTCGGTCAAGACAGTTTTGTAAACACTAGTTATCATTGGCTATGCAATACTCGGTAATATGTGTCCAAGTGGCAGGTGGCTGTTTACCCACGTAAAATTATAATGGTATAAAACAAAGATATGAGTCATACCTTAGTTTAGTCCTCTCTGCCAACATTGTTCTCCGGAAAGTTAAGGCTCGCTGAATGCCCCAGAAAGACTTATCTGTATAGTTAAGACAGTATCCGTCAGGATGTGTTTGGTTGTCCGGGCTCGTTTGTATGAAGCTGCCTACCGTAAATATCGCTGCCACTATGTAGTCTCCATCTAGGTATTCTATAGGTTCATCTATAGCTCTACCAGAACAGGCTGAACTGGCACAGGAAGCCAGTAGCAGACTGAGAAGTAGAGGTAACCGAGCCAGCGTGCGTCCAGTTTTTAAACAGATGCAAGCAATCCTAAACAAAATATTAGACTATTGTGTCGCGATGTGCGCAGGCTTATAATATTAATATGCTTATTGTCAAATTGGTTCACCTTATTGTCCAACCTTCAATTCTTTCCTTTCAACATTCAATTCAACAGCGCTCTTATTTAGACATGATGCTTACATTGGAGATATCATTCAATCAATATTTATTTTTTAAATGACTTCTTTCTTTTTTCATCGTGCCTTTAATTAGTTCATTAATTGTATGAATGAGAGTGAGGGAGTCTAACCTGAGAATTTTGAAAACATGCACCCAGACTGTATTGTAAGTGCTAATAAGTTGCAAGTTCGACTAGGTTAGTCTATCTATTGTACCAGTTAATATGTAGTACGTATATTCCGGGTCAAGACGGGAAGTGCTGGTTCCACAATACATCACTGTTACGGCCTGATTGTGCATTCTCCGTCCATGATATGCCTGTCACCAGTGTGCCAGGTACCTCTGGTTTATAATAGGGATAATAATCCAGTCGGCTGCACGTGTAACCTACGACAAGGGGGTAATAGACTCTCACTAGTGGAACTAGTCCGCTGAGGATATAAACTTATTTATTTGCGGTATCAGAGTTTATGTGTTACGTATACTCGAGCTATAAGTCGAGCCAAATTTTTAGTAAAAACTCTAGAATGTTCTAAGACGTTTTAATTTATTTATTTCCATTGCAACTACTGCAATGTGCATTGTGCAATGAACTGTTAGTTTGAAAAATTATTTTTTGATTTATAATTGAATTTTTATTAAATCATTATCTTCAAGAAAACAACAAATTTTTCAAGAAAACAACAAATTTTTATTTAAATCAATTATAGCAACAATTTGAAAAACTCTAAAGCTCTTCTATTACCATGGAATATACTACGGGTATGGTGACTTGGGCTATTGAGTTGTTAAGTAGATTAAGATTAGTAAACCTGCACTTGCATTGTATATTTTATAAAAACTAGAAATTAGGCTTCACGGTAAAATGGAGAAGCAGGCTGATCTTGGAGAGAGCAGACCGTAAAGTTTACGCACCCACCAGGGCTACCTACCTACCCCAGTTGTTATTTTTGGTTTATCAGCTTGTATTGTTATATTTATGGACCCCAGGTCACCACACTAAGAAGGAGTATGTAAAAAAAAATAATAAGTTAAGTTAATATCATCATATCTGTTTAAAACAGTAAAAGTCAAGTTGAGGATTGACTTTCCTAGTTAATTTAAAGGTTCAAACGTTTGGGAATATAATAATGTTGATATTTGTATCTGCTGCAGCAATAATATCGAAATATCATTTGTCTAGAAAATTTTCGCCACTTCAATAGATATTGGGTCGGCAATTTGGTGAGTGAGTGATGAAATGGTGTGGTCTGTGACTGAGTGAGGGGCGATGTGAAAGTTGTGGTAAGTCCAGGTGTTATTATTGTTGATGGATTGAGATCCCAGGATGATACTTTTACAGCGTAATTTAACCAAAGATACAGAAGTAGTGAGGATTTCCCCATTCTCATTTAGAATCCGTTTATGTATGCTATTCCACAATTTGGAGGCTATATAAAGAAAAGTGTTGGTTTTTCTTGGGAGGATTATGACATTGCTTGTATCACGTTTTGATGAGTCTATAGTACAATACAACGAGTATGGAGTGCGAAATTTCATAATTCGAAATATCTCAGGTATACAGTGGTATTTGTACAAGTTTTGAACAGTAAGCAATTTTAGTCGATTAAAAATGGGCTTGGTGTGCTCTTTTTCGAAAAAAGCAGCTCCTAACCTCTGTTTTGTATAAGGTCTGGCTCGTGCACAAGTGGCATGTTTGTCGAGGTATGCATTTAGGTCTCCAAAAAGGATTCTTATACAACGTTTCTGAGTTATGAACAGCTTATCGTTTGGTTGGTCTTTGAGGGCTGAGCCCCAAACACTTATTCCGTATGCAAAAGATGTGATTCCAATAATGCAGAGTATATTTTTTGGTAGAGTTCCCCTGGAACTGAATGTTTAATCCTGTTAAGTGCTTCTGTAGTGGATCTAATTTTTTTTCTTAGATATTCTATATGTGGGCCCCAGCTAAGTTTTTCATCAATTACTACACCAAGAAATTTGGTGTTGCTAACCTTGACAATTTTGTGTCCATTTATAAATATTCCTTGTGATTTGTCATATTCATTGGCATACGGCCTAACCCTGGCGCAGGTTTCATCAGATTCGTATGCAGGTAGAAAATGTATGTAGCAGCATTTAGACATATTTATATGTAAGAGATTACTTCTCATGAATTTGCATACGAAATCAAGAACTTTATTGGCCTTCAAGTATGTTGCTTCTTTGGACGGTCCAGTGATAAATATATTTGTGTCATCAGCATAGAGCACAAATTTGCATTCATCGCCTTTGTAACAGTTTATTATGTCGTTCATATATAATAAGAAAAGTAGAGGGCCTAGTATGGAACCTTGGGGAACTCCATATTTTACATTCATAGTCTCTGATGTAGTGTTGAAATGAAACATACTGTGATCTATCGGATAAATAGCTTTTTAGAAGTCCTAGAGCTAGACCTCTGTCCTCTAACCCCATAATTTTCCAGTTTCCTCAGGAGAATGCCATGGTCAAGAGTATCAAAAGCTTTGCTTAGGTCAATAAAGATTCCTAGAACATGATTACCACTGGATGTTGATGTTGTGATTGAATGAACTGATTTGTGGAGTGCATGTGAGGTTGAGTGGCCTTTTCGAAAACCAAATTGTTCATTACTGAGAATGTCATTAGCAGTGAAAAAGGTATAAAGCCGTTTGTATATTATTTTTTCAAATATTTTACCAAAGATTGGCAATATTGACACAGGTCTATAATTTTCAATATTTTCTTTATTATCTTTTTTATGGATAGGAGTTACTTTGCCTATTTTGAATATGGATGGGAACGTGCCTTTTTGAATACATGTATTATACAAATTAGCTAATATGTTGGATAAGAGATGAGCCGGTTTCTTGATAACTGCTATTGGTATATCACTGGCTTTTCCGTTAACGAATTCTTGAATTATTTCAAGAATCTCCTCAGGATGAGTTTCTTCTAGATGTATTGAACTGTTGACTGATTTCGACATAAACTCAACAAACTAAATTAAGTAAATTAAGTTAATTGAGTTAATTAAGTTAATTAAATAATGATTTAAAGCGGCTAACGGGCTAATTACTTCCTCAGTTGTCGATAATTCATTTCAACACAGTTGTTAATAGCTTAAGTCAGAATAAGTTAGAATAATGCAGAATAACACTGGCTATAGTTCTATAATAGGCAAATGACAAGACGGGACCGAGAATACATCCCCTGGAGGCACTGAGTTTTCCCCTCCTTCTGGAACGCGCACAAAGCAACATTCCCGCTATTTTATAGAATTGAAATGACAATGACTACCTTGTCATGTTGGTCTCTCATCTCAGAAACGAGTAAACTTCACATTTGTAAACAAATTCAGTAAAGCAAACTTCAGTTTGAGTTAATCATAAAATTTACTACAAGTTCAATTCAAAAGGTATGAATAATGATTATATTAGTAAATAGTAATTAAAGTAAAACAACGGAAAAAGTTTATCTTAAAATTTAAGAGATCTAAGATGATTCACACATGAAACAAGATAAGAAAAAAAATTCCCGGGAACAAGGTTTTAAGCTATTTCATTTTTAACTTTGGTTTTATGGTCAAACCGTTTCACATAAGAAAGAAGTTCCTTATTCAATACAAATTAATTCGTGTTTTCTTCATCTTTATCCACAGTAATTTGTATCTTTACGTTCGCGTTAGTCGTTCGCTTCCTCCATTCTGTCACAGCTAATTTTGGCACCGAAGTTGCTTTGTTTGGAGGAGGGTTTATCGTATTTTTGGGAGTACCAACTTGTCGTGGACGAGTGCGACCTCCTGCCTGGGCCATAGCCTGGGAAGCCTTGCCTTTTTGTATACTACTAGGACTTGCAGTTGGAGATACCGATACTTGAGATCTTTTAACACCAAGTGCTGGTGAGGGCTTCAGCGAATTTGATGGTGAATTCTTGGGCGATTTCTTGGGCGAATTGGTGGGCGTAGCAACACTTATTGCTGACAATCTTTGTCCCGCCGTTCTACTGGCTCTTGTAGGCCTGCTTGAAAAAACTCGAAGTGACTCTTGGATAATTCGCTTCTCCTCTTCTGTATCGACATCTTTTTTTACCAGAATGATCACTTTAGGCAGGAACAGGCACAGAAGAAATGCAAGGTAAGTTACATACATGACAATAGATCGAAGCAGAGCCCGTGTTTCGGGAGGAGAGACACTGTAGCCACTGAGAAACATCACACAGCAGAAGGTGACTATCAGGGTGGCCCCTAAAATGCTCAAAGTTTCCCGAAAATTATGGGGAAACTTTCTCATCTTGAAGACAAAAATGAGGGTGGCGAGAAAGTAGACGAGTGGGAGAGACAAGGGGAGGACGCTGATAGCTCCTTGGTAATCATTTCTCAGATAACACTTGGGGTATCTGGGCGCATGGTGAACTTTTTGATGAATATGGAACTTCCAGCCAGGCCCAGTTCCAAATCCATCAATGAACAGGAAAACAGTGACAAAGGCCAGCGAAACACTGTTTAAAAAGACATGTCCAGCTTGCTTCAGAGCCATCTCAAACTTAGGTCTCTGGAAGGAGTTTGCTGCTGCGAATATGCCATGGATCTTAATACACTTCCACAGAAGATTTGTCGTGATCAATGTCGAAGAGATAATTATAACCACATATTCCATGCTGCATACCAACTGATTTGGCTCGAGTAATGGCATGATGCTTCCCAAAAAGCCGACAGCTATCGAAGCTAGAATAGTGTACATGTAACCCGGCTCCGAGGCCTTGATGACTGGCCTTTCTTCATTTTTCCAGACCAGAACAACTGTTAAGGCTACCAACACTATCCCAATTATTACAAGCGTGATTCCACCGATAAAAACATTAGAGCTTGTTTTTATGTAGATTATTTCCACATTTCGGCACCCAGTTCTATCTTCATTTGTTGTTTCGTTGCTTCGACATTTGTGGCATCTGTGTTGATTAGTTTGGTTGGAAAATTGATTGGGTGAACATCTTTTACATTCCCAGCAGCAAGGGAGAATGGTAAGATCGGCCACGGTCTTGTAGAAGCTGTAAGTTCCCGGAAGACAGTCCACCGAACATCTCTTCTCATAATGCGAGATATTTTGGAAAAGAGGATAATTGGTTACCTTTAACAACTCTGGAGATACCTCCCCAAGAATATGGTGATCGTCTGTCTTGCTCCTGTAGATTCCTAGTTTAGTGGGCGACGATATTGTCCTTCCTTTAAAGCTAACTTTCAGAGTGACATTTGCATCCAGTTCCACTTCAATCTCTCTGGTTTCGTTGACGATCGTTTCGAAGATCTGCCTACGAAATTCTGTCACCGATGAGCAGTTTGAAGACTCAGGGTTGTTCTCCAAGTTGTCTTGTAACGCTCTGACTATGATTTTAGTTCCTGCAACCACATGGGGTGTCCAGCTGGATGTTTGGCAGCCATCGGCACAACCATCCTCATCTCGTAAAAGTTGGCTTTTTCGATATAGTTCGTCCAGCTCATGACCCTGCTCTTCCCATGGGTAAGCTAAATCGTTGTTAAGATGAGATAGCTGAGTGTTAATTAGAGCTGAAAGAGGATAGATGACAGTGTCGTCGCTACCGTTGAGGCGTCTTAAAATGTCGCTGTATTCCTTGTGGTATACAGCCCTGCCATTTGAGGTGCCCGTAACATAAATCTTGTTCCTAAATCCTAAATTTTCGGTTACATATTGAAGCCATTTTGTTGATGCAGATTTAATGTTTTGAAGAAGGAGTTGTACAGTTGCCGAACTTTTTGTAGGATCATAATAATCCTTTAATAAGTGATTGTTCTCTTCAAGCGTATTGAACATTCCTTGAATCCTGCCACAACGACCATTTTCACTTAAATATCCTTTGGATATGTGATCCGCAATTTCTTTTGACAGTTCATGATACCAAATGTCCATGTATCCGTAATCCATCTCTTCCAAGAACTTGACTATCAGTTCTCCCTCCTCTTCCTTTGTGGAGATGAGTGAAATCAATGTTGGAAACTGTTTCTGATCCATCAGAGTTTTGTCGTTGTAAATGTAGGTAACCGTTGGGATGTAAAACGAGGTGGTCTGCCGTGCAAATATTTCGGAGTAAAGTCCGTGGTCGATCCCTATAACGCCGACAACTTTTTCATTTGTTGCGAGCTTGATAGAAATTCTGTTTGTGACAATACCACTGTCACAGTTGATGTAAATCTCGTACCCCAGAGAGATCCCCTTTAATCTGGAGTGAAATATTAAGTTAGTTCATATGCATAATATGTGCACTAACTTTCAGTCTATTAGCAAGCAAAATAGAAGACATTTAACTATTAAATGGTATAAACTGGATTAAACTTGTAATTTGTTGAGGCTTGGAAAGCATTTTTCCTAATAAATTATAAACTGAATGCATATTTAGTCTGCGACAAATTAAGTCACATTTCCTTGACTAAAATTGTGGAAATCAAATTTTATGCGACTAACTCACTGATTTAATGGCCTATTAAATTTTGGCAGAGCATACGGGTAAACCCCCCCTAAAATGTCACCCACCCCTAAAACGCCACTCTTGATTGATTGGATCCCATCTTCTTAGAAAGTATCTTACGTAATCATTTGTAACTCCTAAACATAAAAAAATATCATTCAGACCCTGCCACATCCTGAAATTGAATCTAAATGATGCCATAAGGGCATTTTTTTCACTTTGTACGAATTTTTTACTTTTGAAAAATAGCGCACAATTTTATACCTCTGGAATTCATTAATATTAACTCAGTTTTGGTCTAGGATAGTGATATTTACATATTTTAGCAACTTTGTACATATGACTCGACTGGAGATATGGAAAGTTATACATTACTCAATATTACTACCCTCCCCTAAAATGTCACCTGGCCGCCCCCTAAAATGTCATTTTATCATATTCTGGCTTTGAGACTACAAGCACCATAAAATGGAGGTACCAGCCTATTAAACATCATATTTAGCATCTAATGGTAATATTGGAAAGCTTTGGCAGCTCAAGGAATTAGTTTTATTTTATTAATCGCAAAAAAACATCCCCTAAAATGTCAAATTATCCCCCCTAAAATGTCATTTTAACCTGATCAAATTACTCAGGCTTTTCCTAAGATGCAATGCATACTCACATTTCGTTAATAGTTGATGTTAATTGTTAATAATTAACAGGTTCCAAAACAAGAGCTTTTATCGCACACCATGCGAACAAAATACAAATTTGACACTTTAGGGGAGAAAAAAATGACATTTTAGGGGGCATATCATAGGTTTACCATAAACTAGTAAGTACCAAAAACCGTAGTTTTTGACATTCAATTTTGCTAAAAGCAGTCAAATCTAGTCTATAGAGAAGGTCAGATCGATTACTGGGTTGGCTTAGTTAACTACAGGTCACTTAAATTACCAAGATGCAGGATGATGTTAAAAATCCCAAAAAATGCAATTAAAACATGCAATTTTCACAAGTAAAAGGTTAAAATCACATTGAATCCATTTCTTTTGTGCCAATTGTTAGTTTATAACTAGTTAATCTAACTACAGGTGTACATTTTGTTGACTGAGTTACTGTTTTGCTGTAAGTTCTGGGTATTCAAAAAAAGTCCCCAAAATGTCACAAAATGTAAATTGACTAAATTCCACCATTTTTTTTTTCAACAGAGAGAGAAATTCTGGTCGACACCTCTCAGAAATAGGTTACATTTGTCCCAGAAGTGGTTAAAATTAATAATTGAGCAACATTCTGAGTGCTACACAACCTGTTTTAGCTGACGTTTTAGGGTCGGTGCTGGGTGCTCGTGACATTTTAGGGGGTGACTACGGTTTTGAGGTACTTCCTTTAGTGAGTGAATGTTTTCAAGTAGCTTAATGTTTTAATAAGACAAAATAAATAGTACTATACTAGTGACAAAAGATAAATCAGGCCTCCTGTACATTTTGTAATTATCACACATATAGAAATGACATTTTAGGGGTGGTGTTTTAAAACTAACTCTATTTCAACGTCAAAAAAATTGTACCTGATTTTATTTTCAAATTTCCAAATCTTCCTGGCAGGCTAGAAAAAGGTTTAAATATTATTCCTAGACACTTCAGAACCCTGTAAATTTAGCCCTAACTCGGCAATTTGGGCCCAAAAAACAGGTGACGTTTTAGGGGGGGGGGGGGGGTTACCCGTAAATACTTCAAAGTTTTGCATAATATTGTTGATTATGATGCAATCATGCAAAGCTGCCAAAACTTATCATTATAGGACAACTTGTCAACAAAATTATAATAATTTGCAAAATTTCTGAATTAAGGGGGTTCACCTTGATTTTTTGTGACATTTGATTTCGAGATAGCAATTGACCAACAAAAGAGGGCCTGTGACCAAACTTTTGAGGGGGTTCCAGACTCCGGGTGCCCACGGGACAGCCACGCCCATATTTGGTCCCAATTATGCCAAATCACCTTAACATGCTCAAAACCATAGGGTGCTTTAGTTATAGCTACTAATCTCCTGAACAGAAATATAAAGTTTTGTCAAAATTGGATAAAAATTGGCTGAGTTATGAGCAAAATATTATATGACTATATTTGGGCATGTGGACCAATTTTGATAGATTTTAGCCCATAAATTGGTCAATTATCAATATTCTTGGATGAAACGAATTTTATAAGTAAGGTAAGTTTATACTACTCATCAAAAGAATTTGGCAGTTGGCCGCCAATTTTTAAAAAGGCCTAACTCAAAATTCCACTCCAAGACTTAAGGTCAACATGCAATTCTACGTTGATTCTGAAAATTTCATGAAAATTTCATGAAAATATATTGAAACCCTATCGAGTTCTATTGTTTTGAGCGAAATTAGTTTTGTGAATATCGCGAACTGAGATATGGGTGATTTTGTACATTTTTTGCGGTTATTTGAACACAGTTAGGTAGATATTGAGCTGATAATCATAGAGAATGTGCAGTATAGGCTTACCTTACACATGAAGTTTGTTTCATCCAAAAATATTGATAATTGACTAATTTATGGACTAAAAATCTATCAAAATTGGTCCACATGCCCAAATATAGTCATATAGTATTTTGCTCATAACTCAGCCAATTTTTATCCAATTTTGACAAAACTTTATATTTGTGTTCAGGAGATTAGTAGCTACAGCTAAAGCACCCCAAAGTATGGTTTGGAGCATGTTAAGGTGATTTGGCAAAATTGGGCAAAATATTTGGGACCAAATATGGGCGTGGCTATCCGATCCCGCGGGCACCCACAGTCCGGAACCCCCTCAACTAGTTTTTTGGTCAATTGCTATCTCGATATCAAATTTCACAAAAAACCCACCCTTAAGTGGATATACACCAAAGCCTTTTTGCCGGGACCCGTGATTTGACTACATATGATGAAAATACAGATAAAAACAATAAGATTTGATATATTAAACAATTTTTTCCCGATCCATGACTCCTGTGCCGAAGGCACAAAAGAGTCAAGGACAAGGGTTAGCAAACGAGGTTTTTTTTCGTATATGGTAGCTTGCGACTGTCGTTCCTGCGTACGTACGTGCCCGCGCGCCAATATGTTGCCACGTTTCTAACTAGCCTGCGCAAAGTTATTTTGTGAGATATTCTGAATTAAATAGTTGTTGTCGCGTGGCGCTGATATGAACTGACCAAGTAAATTGTTAATTTCACCATGGCTTTTCCTACCATTTATATTAGAGTAGCACAGATTCAGAGCTTAGTCAATTAGTGCCTAGTGGTAGTGGGATACGTACTACGTATCCCACTACCACTAGGCACTAATTGATAGCATATTATTATTATTATTTTTGGTATTACTATTTTGCACAGATTCGTGTCAGGTTGCATAAAGTTAAACAATAAACAATAAAATATACACTATTTTCAAATTCAATATGGAATTAACTGGGCGGCGCTCGGCCTGTCACTCCGCTATATCTGCATTCTTATAAACTGCAGAGACTGGGGACGTAGGTTGTATGGAATATAATAAAATAAGCCATCACGGATCATTGAGCGGCCATCCACAAAAGAAAAGCGGCCGCATTTCTTGTTTTGAGAGTGCGCATTTATTTTCTTTTTGGAATTGTTTTTCAATTTGGTAAAGTCTGTCACTGTAATACCGATATTTTTGATATTTTTGAAGGTTTTTAGCTGATTTTTTACTGAACATTATGCACAATCCGTACAAGAAGCCCTCCAAAGGATTATACAATTGACGAAATTACAGACCGAACAAGTTCGAGAAGCAAAATTGAAAATTTTGCCTACTATTAAAGTTGTACATTTTATCAATACCCCAGGTCATAAGATATCCCTTCACAAATTCTTTTGAGTGTAGCTGATGATTATATCCAACTTTTTAGAACCGCATTTCTCTCCATTTTGAGTTTTTAGTAAAATTCATGTAAAAAAGGGCCAAAAATTAAAGATTTAAAGCTTGAAATGCATATAACTCAAAAAGTTTCAGTTTTTTTGAAATAATTTTTACAGAATCGTAATCAGCTTGATGAGACGAAACTTTTAGTGTCACTTTTACAATACCTAAATACTTACTTCATCATTTATTGTTCAATTATATAATCCTTTTGAGGGCTTCTTGTAAGGATTATAAATAATTTTCAGTAGAAAATCAGCCAAAAAATTTTTTAATGACTAAAATATCGGTATGACAGTGACAGACTTTACCAAATTGAAAAAAATTTCCAAAAAGAAAATGTTTTTTTTCCCGAAAAAATTTGTAATGTATCAAATCTTATTGTTTTTATCTGTATTTTCATCATATGTAGTCAAATCGCGGGTCCTGGCAAAAAAGGCTTTGGTGTATGTCCCCTTAAATATTGGTACCCAAAAAGTTTTGCAATTAAACTTTTTGTAGCCAAAATTTATTGCTCCTAAGTAAGCCTACGGGCTGGTGTTGTGGTAACAGCGTTTTGGTTGGCAATCGAAAGGTTTCAAGTTCGAGCCTCATCTCCACCAACGATCCCTGTGATGAGACAAGGACTAGCTGTTTGGGCCAGGCACATTTCACCATGCCTTGGTCAAGACAACGTTGTAAACACTAGTTATCATTGGCTATGCAATACTCGGTAATATGTGTCCAAGTGGCAGGTGGCTGTTTACCCACGTAAAATTATAATGGTATAAAACAAAGATATGAATCATACCTTAGTTTAGTCCTCTCTGCCAACATTGTTCTCCGGAAAGTTAAGGCTCGCTGAATGCCCCAGAAAGACTTTTTAGATGTATAGTTAAGACAGTATCCGTCAGGATGTGTTTGGTTGTCCGGGCTCGTTTGTATGAAGCTGCCTACCGTAAATATCGCTGCCACTATATAGTCTCCATCTAGGTATTCTATAGGTTCATCTATAGCTCTACCAGAACAGGCTGAACTGGCACAGGAAGCCAGTAGCAGACTGAGAAGTAGAGGTAACCGAGCCAGCTTGCGTCCAGTTTTTAAACAGATGCGAGCAATCCTAAACAAAATATTAGACTATTGTTTCGTGATGTGTGCAGGCTTATAATATTAATATGCTTATTGTCAAATTGGTTCACCTTATTGTCCAACCTTCAATTATTTTTGCAACAGCGGCTTCATTGAAACGTGATGATTTTATTGGAGATATCATTCAATTCAATTAAAATGTTGGAAACGTTTAATGACTTCTTTATTGTGCTTGAATTAGTTCATTAATTGTATGAATGAAAGTGAGGGAGTCTAACCGTTGAATCTGTCCATTGCTTAACATGTAGCATGTACCCCAAGTCACACCAGAAAAAGCAGGTTCTACAATACATCTTATCGCTGTTATGGCCTGATTGTGCATTATTCGTCCATGATATACCAATCACCAGTGTGCCAGGTAACTCTGGTTTATAATAAGGATAATAATCCAGTCTCCCACGCGACGTGGGGTCATCACGTTCGAAAATTGAAACGCAGATTATGTTCTGAAGCAAGGTTTTTGCACTAGCTATGACCATCGACCCGATTAAATGTAATTCATCACGCTAATATGGATGTAAATGTAATAGGTTTCTGGTGTCCAAGGTATAATTAAGAGATTGCGTTGCATTTCAGATCCACAAAAGAGTAACTAGAGTCTCGGGAGCTATGATTCAATTCGCGTGTTACAGGGATGCACGCCGTCGAGCCGGTAAATATCATGAATGGCTGCTTTCGAATCCTGTTTTGCAACCCTCGCCGCCGCACGACAGAATGAAATACAAATTTTGACGTCCGAGTAGAGATAGATGTATTCAATTATTTCAGCGTCTCAAAGATTCCACATAATACAGTAATAATACATTAATTAATACAATATAATACATTAATAAGATACTAGAGCACGGCCGAGAAAAGCTGACCGCTGAAAAATCGAAATTAAAATAAATTTGTAGGTCAGATTTTCGCGGCCATGGTGTAAGTAACAAAACCATGAGGTCATGTAACTGACTTCAGCATTCATGTTCGTATTTGAAAATATTTGAAACCAAAAAAAATGTTCAGAAAAATTTCAATATATTTAAAATTGTCTTAGTTTTAAAGGTTTAAAAAAACCCCCTCCAGAATGCAAATGAAATCTTTTTTTTTGTTATTTTCATTCAGTATCTTTGTTGAACTCATTGCTGTCTTCTAGTTCTACCATTGTCCTTCAACAATCAACATTCAGCACTGAAATTTTCCTGACCCAAGATCATCAGAAAGAGCTATCGTTTTAGCCACAGTTAGATAAATCCTGTCATGTCCACTACAAGGAGAAACGATTGGAGTTGCTGATACTTAACATCTTCTGCAACACAAACCTTGGCGGTTTCACTATCGAAGTTATCGGTAAAATTTAATTATTGTGTAGTTTCTTGGGCGGATTGATGGGCGAAGCAACGCTTATGGAAAAACTAACTTGTCTTGGACGAGTGCGACCTCCTGCCTGAGCCATAGACTGGGAAGCCTCGCCTTTTCGTATACTACAAGGAGTTGCGGTTGGAGATACTGATGCTTGAGATCTTTTACCACCAAGCGCTGGTGAAGGCATCAGCGAATTCTTAGGTGAGTTCTTAGGCGAATTGATGGGCGTAGCAACGCTTATAACTGACAATCTTGATCCCTTTCCACTTGCCCTGCTCGCAAAAACTTGAAGTGACTCTTTGATAATTCGTTTCTCCTCTTCTGTATCGACATCTTTTTGTACCAGAACAATCACTTTGGGTAGGAACAAGCAGATAAGGAATGCAAGGTAAGTTATATAGATGATAACAGATCGGAGCAGAGCCCGTGTTTCGGGAGGAGAGACGCTGTAACCACTGAGGAACATCACACAGCAGAAGGTGACTATCAGGGTGGCCCCTAGAATGTTCAAAGTTTCCCGAAAATTATGGGGAAACTTTCTCATCTTGAAGACGAAAATGAGGGTGGCAAGAAAGTAGACGAGTGGGAGAGACAAGGGGAGGACGCTGATAGCTCCCCGGTATCCACGCCTCAGACTGCACCTGGGATATATAGGCTCATGGTCGTCTTCTTTATAATCCTCAAACCTCAACCCAGGCCCGGTTCCAAATCGATCGATTAACATCACAACAGTGACAAAAGCCAGCGAAACACCGTTTAAAAAGACATATCCAGCTTGCTTCAGAGCCATCTCAAACTTAGGTCTCTGGAAGGAGTTTGCTGCTGCGAATATTGCATGGATCTTAATACACTTCCACAAAAGATTTGTCGTGATCAATGTCAAAGAAACAATCATGATAACATATTCCATACTGCATACTAACTGATTTGGTTTAAGTAATGGCATGATGCTTCCTACAAAGCCGATAGCTATCGATGCTAGAATAGTGTACAAGTAACCCGGTTCCGAGGCCTTGATGACTGGCCTTTTCTCATTTTTCCAGACCAGGAAAACTGTTAAGGCTACCAAGACTATCCCAATTATTGCGAGCGTTAGTCCACCCATAAAAATACCAGAGGTTGGTTTTATGTAGATAACTTTCACATCCCGACACCCAGCTCTATCTTCATTTGTTGTTTCGTTGCTTCACATTTGTGGCATCTGTGTTGATTAGTTTGGTTGGAAAATTGATTGGGTGAACATCTTTTACATTCCCAGCAGCAAGGGAGAATGGTAAGATCGGCCACGGTCTTGTAGAAGCTGTAAGTTCCTGGAAGACAGTCCACTGAACATCTCTTCTCATAATGCGAGATATTTTGGAAAAGAGGATAATTGGTTACCTTTAACAACTCTGGAGATACCTCCCCAAGAATATGGTAATCGTTTGTCTTGCTCCTGTAGATTCCTAGTTTAGTGGGCGACGATATTGTCCTTCCTTTAAAGCTAACTTTCAGAGTGACATTTTTATCCAGTTCCACTTCAACCTCTCTTGTTTCGTTGACGATCGTTTCGAAGATCCGCCTACGAAATTCTGTCACCGATGAGCAGTTTGAAGACTCAGGGTTGTTCTCCAAGTTGTCTTGTAACGCTCTGACTATGATTTTAGTTCCTGCAACCACATGGGGTGTCCAGCTGGTTGTTTGGCAGCCATCGGCACAACCATCCTCATCTCGTAAAAGTTGGCTTTTTCGATATAGTTCGTCCAGCTCATGACCCTGCTCTTCCCATGGGTAAGCCAGATCGTTGTTAAGATGAGATAGCTGAGTGTTAATTAGAGCTGAAAGAGGATAGATGACAGTGTCGTCGCTGCCGTTGAGGCTTCTTAAAACGTCGCTGTATTCCTTGTGGTAAATATCCCTGCCATTTGAGGTGCCCGTAACATAAATCTTGTTCCTAAATCCTAAATTTTCGGTTACATATTTCAGCCATTCCGTTGACAGAGATTTACTGTTTTGAAGAAAGAGTTGTACAGTTGCCGACTTTTTGTAGGGCCATAATAATCCTTTAATAAGTGATTATTCTCTTCAGGCGTTTTGAACATTCCTTGAGTCCTGCCACAACGACCATTTTCACTTAAATATCCTTTGGATATGTGATCCGCGATTTCTTTTGACAGTTCATGATACCAAATGTCCATGTATCCGTAATCCATCTCTTCCAAGAACTTGACTATCAGTTCTCCCTCCTCTTCCTTTGTGGAGATGAGTGAAATCAATGTTGGAAACTGTTTCTGATCCATCAGAGTTTTGTCGTTGTAAATGTAGGTAACCGTTGGAATGTAAAACGAGGTGGTCTGTCGTGCAAATAATTCGGAGTAAAGTCCGTGGTCAATCCCTATAACGCCGACAACTTTTTCATTTGTTACGAGCTTGTTAGAAATTCTGTTTGTGACGATACCACTGTCACAGTTGATGTAAATCTCGTATCCCAGGGTGATCCCTTTTAACCTGGAGGGAAATTATGGTTAGACTTCTGTTAGACTTTTTATCTTATCTTACTAACTGACTACTTCTGACTAAGTATTAGCATACATTTTCAATATATTTACAGCAAGCAAAAGAAAGAGCATTGAGCTCTTAGACTGTTTGATGGCTTGGGGGCATTTTCCCAAAGGAGTTAATCTCTATTGGTGAAGCTAAGATCTAGACAGTATTGTTCACACTTCCATAACGTAGTAAGATTCTTAGGAAAGGTAGCTAGTGGTTACTTCTCTAAAGTCATGCTATCAGTATCACTGGTCATCACCAACACGGCTATTACAGAGCTTGACGGGTAAAAAACTACGGGAGATATTATACACATAGGAAGATATTACTTCGCGCTGTTTGAAATACATAATTATGTATGTAAGTAATAAATTATTATGCATGAAAACCCTAAAGATATAAAATTGTACCTAAGACGATTTATCTCTGCCAACATTGTCCTCCGGAAAGTTAACGCTCGCTGAATGCCCCAGAAAGACTTATCTGTATAGTTAAGACAGTATCCGTCAGGATGTGTTTGGTTGTCCGGGCTCGTTTGTATGAAGCTGCCTATTTTAAATATCGCTGCCACTATGTAGTCTCCATCTAGGTATTCTATAGGTTCATCAATAGCTCTACCAAAACAGGCTGAACTGGCACAGGAAGCCAGTAGCAGGCTGAGAACTAGAGGTAACCGAGCCAGCGTGTGTTCAGTTTTTAAACAGATGCGAGCAATCCTAAACAAAATACCAAGAAATGTTGGGGATTGTGCTGTATTGTATTAATGATTAGTGGCACGGGCCACCCTAAGCTTATTGTTAGATCTGCCGACCTTATTGTCAACCTTTTGATTCTGTATATTATGTGTAAGAATGTCTTCTTTGTACTGACCTTATGTTCTTTAGTTTACATGTATGCTGAGATAGAAATCCAGATTGTGCACATGGATTTGTTTAGTTTGAATGAATGAAGGAGACTATCCCATCTATTGTTTTGGTTATTATATTATATCAGTATATGTTCTCACAAAACATATATTCACTGCTATCACTGGCTATGGTCTGATCGTTAATTGTTTTGTCCATGAAGACTTCAGCACTATTCACCAGTTTTTTAATCATTTCTATTCTTGTAACAATAACATCATAGGGGTCGAAAGGTTCATTTACCATATGGAGTAGAGTGGTATTTTTTAAAGAAGGGGCCAGGGGGTCTCCTTCGTAATAAATTTATCAGGGCAGTCAACCTTATCGGCTACATTCCAATCTTCCTACCAATTCTCTGAGCGCTATGAAGTCTGTATTACGTCCCCGTGATACCAAATCAGACAAATTGGGACCGTTATTGTGTAATAAATTGGAGGGCTGGGGGTTGTGTTATATGCGCGACAAAAACCTACAAACTTGATGATATTACACCACCAGTTCGTATTTCTCTAAACCAGGATATTTCAGATGGTGCGACTAATACTTCATGACAAGGAGATCATCAGTAAACCTGCTAACAAGAAACCTAGAAAAAGGTCAGATTCCACATTTAAATCTTGTTCGCTCGAAGATGCAATCAATTTTTGAATAAAATTGTAATTTCTGACTGATATAACCCTCTTTTGACTTACTTTTCCCAGGAGCAGTTCAGAGGACATACTGGCGGCGCAAATTTCTTTTTCTCTCCCTGAAGCCTTTGTTTTGCGTGAACAGGACGGTCTCAATCATTATTGCGAGGTTTGTTACTCTGTGAACTTTGAGGGTGTAAGGGCATTGTTCATATTTTGATACTACGTGAGCCATAGAATAAGGTACACCACTGATACGAGATATAGTGATGTATAGCAGTGTATTGCAATGTAGTGTAACTGTATTGCAATGTATTGTATTGCAGTGATGTATTGTTCCCTCGGACAAATCCTGCTCAACGAACTTTCAACCCTGCTGGTATCAGACTTACAGTTGTCCTGTTGTAAAGTCGAATGCCCGGCATGTAGTCCAAACTTGCAATTCTAGGAAAAGCCTTTAAAAGAATTTTATAGGAATTTTATAGACATTTTATTGAATATAACTATAATGTTAATTAGCTTGTTGTTGTTGTATCTTGTATCTTGTTGTTGTTAGATCCCGACAGTAGCACGTGACCCCGTTATAAAGAATGTGGTGGCGGGAATGAACGCCTTACACCCCAACAGCGAGTGTTTCTACAGAATCCTGGTCAGACTGTTTCTTTCTAACACTGATATGGACTCCTGGGAGGTGCTTAAAGCTGCTCTTCTTGAGTTTGTCGGTATGTTAACAAGTGAAACATAGTTGTTGGGTAGTTGCCCAAGTTATGTTACCTTTTTTATTGAACACCAATTGGCACGCATATTGGTAGCCTATACAGTGCCGTCTGGATCCGGATTCCGGATGTATGACCCCTATTTTGGTGATTTTATACTTTTGAAAGCTTTCTCTAAAAAAATCTAGCTGCCAGTACCTTGTGAAATGTGAGCATTTCAAGTCAATGGAAAATCTATTTATATATTACGATATTCATGTGATCCTATCGTTTTATACATTTTCTCCTTGTCCTGTAGGATTTAATTTAATTACATTCTTTAACTAAATTGCAATTTAACAGTTCCTTGATTATCTTCAGGCGTACGAGGAGGTCATGATCATTCCTCGGTTACACTGCACGATCCTACTATACGACGTACTAGACACTCCCAGGTAGTGAAAGTGAAAGTGAAATTGAAATTTAAAGTAACAGTTTGACAGCATCCGCCTTATGCCCTAAATGTGAACCCTTTAATTAAAGATATTTCAAAGTAGGCAAACTAAAAGTGTAACAGGACCTGAAATTACAGACGAATGAAGACTGGGAGTACATGCTGAACGTTATGCTGAACGAGGTTAATGGCGGAGCATTCGGTCTTCCTCTCCTCGACAATATGACGGTTAAGGAGCTGCAGCCTTCTCAGATGACTGCATCTAAAGGTTTTACACAGCTGCAAAAGCGATTTACCTGTTTTTGAAGACAGTTAACACATAACATGTTTTTTTAAAGCTTCTGTTGCCAGCACACTATCACATCCCTTATCTGTTTCAATAAACCTCCAGATATTTATGTTGTTACTTGCTTTTTTCCTTTTCGTGTCCTTCCTACAGTTCAATTTACGGGATGCAAAAATATTCCCCGCACACTTCTTATCCCCCGCAAAATTGACACTTAACCCATACCTCGAAATGACCACCCTGTATTCAGAGTTGTGTGAAAGTACACTACAAGTTTTACACTTGGTACACTGTGAACTACAACTGGATGTTCACAACAGAGTTGTGTGCCAGAAACTCGCTGATGTTATCCATCATATCTCCTGTGCAGGTTTCATAACTTAACTAATAACTTATAACTTATTATAACTTAACTTATAACTACCCTTAGAAATTTAGGAAGAACAAATTGAAGTCAAAACAAATTTGGTTTCACAAAGTTTTGATATTACTTTTTTTCTAGTTATTTGGTTTTTAAGGTACACTCGCTATCCCAGTCATTTTATTTAACCATGTAGAAATTTGGGTGTGAGAGGACCTTGAATTCCAAGTATATTTCTTAATTTATAATCATCAATACTGAACCTGATTATGACATATTACGTTAGGTGGTAGTTAATCAGATAGTAACCCTCTGTTACTACTCCGTCCAGATTAACATATTTTGTTATTTAGGTGGATTTGAGGAGTACGTGAATTTCTACAGATCATCTCATCCGCACCTCGGAGCTCTCTTACCACACTCACTGGTACATATTTCAAATAAACTGCAGTATTTGTGTATTTTTTATTGGAAGTTGAAAATAGTTTTAGTAAATACGGAAATGTCTTAAGCACCGGCTGGCTAATATGGGTACTGGGTTTTTTAAATTCCATTTTTTAAATTTCATGTGTATACATTCTGTTACGCATAAGTATCAGTATAATGTAGATAATTTCAGTCTGATATTCCCACAATTTTTCTGAAAAATAATCACTTGGTTAACCTCCGATCCCTCAGTCTCCAAGTTTAGTGTCACTGAACAACACGCTGATAAGTCTACTCAGTGGCAACAAGCCAGACATGCCTCCTCTAGTTCCAGGCATCACGGATCTAACAGAGTCAGTTCTAATACTATACCTCCTTATCACAGAGCAACCGCTTAGCCAGCAGGTGGGTGTTTATTCCTCAGATTAGACTAGAATGTTCTTAATTTCAGTTCCTATATTATGAAAAGTATTGTCTGCTAAAACAGACCTTAAATAAGATCGCACCTTGTATCTTTGTATATGTTAAAACTAAAACCGTCGATCCCACACCCTTTAATCCCACACCTTCAGTCGCTGAGGTACCTGAGGTCAGGATCCAAACGAGTTGAGATGGTAAACGTAGCTCTAGCTGAGAAGAAGTACTCATCACTCGCTGACAGGGTACTTGTTGCCATGGTAACTCTCGGTCAGTAACTCTTTTAGTAACTCTCGGTGAGTAACTATTTTAAATCTGTGCAGAACTACAGGGTGCCCAGGAAGAAGGTTTTGCACATCAATCACGTAATAAGAGCTTATCCGTGCAAACACAAAAGGGTAACACTGGGGCTCCACTCGGGTTCCAAACGGAAAAACACTGGGGTGACACCTGTGACCTGGTTAACACTTTTACTTCAGGTCTAGACCAGAGAACAGTAAACTCGCTCCCAGTTGGGATCCAGCTGCCACTCCTGGACGTGTTATACCCAGCTCACTGCAACCCTCCCTCTGGCTTACCTCCCCCTGCCTACACACTTGTGCACAGGACAGATGTTATTAGTTCAGCACCCTCCCACTTTATGCAGTGCAATTCAACTAAAAAGGAACAGGATATGGAGTCTGACATGGCTTTTGAATCTCCCGTCCTCGATTTTAGGTAAGTGAGGGCCACGTGATTTCGCTTTATTGTTCAATGTTTGAAAACTGCGCCGTACCATCCTTTCTCAGCTCCTCCACCGTAGTATTCTTCTCACTACGCCGCGGTAAACTAAACAGTAACATACGCTCTCTTCTACCAGGTTCCCAGAAGATAAGCGGGTTGAGGAGGCGGCTCACATGTTTGCAACATCACAGCCCGTTAAAATAGTCGTCAGCAGACGCCCTGAGATGACAGACGCTGAATATGTGGACCAACAGGTAGGCAATGATACTGATACTGATACTGATACTGATACTGATACTGATACTGATACTGATACTGATACTGATACTGATACTGATACTGATACTGATACTGATACTGATACTGATACTGATACTGATACCGATACTGATACTGATACTGATACTGATACTGATACTGATACTGATACTGATACTGTTACTGATACTGATACTGATACTGATACCGATACTGATACTGATACTGATACTGATACTGATACTGATACTGATACTGATACTGATACTGATACTGATATTGATACTGATACTGATACTGATACTGATACTGATACTGATACTGATACTGATGTCTTCATTTATAAATTAAATTGTTTTAACAATAACATCATCAGGAGCTGCTGCTTTTCAACAAAACGAAGCGAACAATGGCGATACCAGTCGGCAGATCTCTCTTCACCTTCAGCACCTTCAGACCCAGTCCGAGAGACCCCATTGTGATCCCGGATGTTTGCATCAGCGGCAAGGCCCTGCCTCGGGGCAATACTGTCAAACTTGACCTGGATATTCCTGCTGAGATGATTCATTGGAGCGAGTTCCACAGTGGGGTGGCAACTGGTTAGTTACATGATATTGTTTCCTCTAAAACTTACAAGCTTTATTGGCCACAGCGTCTCCAGTTTTGGAGGGAAAAGTGGTTTTCTCACTGCAAATTAGAGTATTTTCCTATTTATAGCAACTGTCACGTTTATTACAGATTTATTACAGTTCTAAAACAGTAAGTGTGGAATCCCAGCAATGTCACACTACCGGTTAATGATAAATCAATTATTTTATCTAATCTTCTTTTTGTATGACAAACTAATGCGGACATCATACGTTGTCATTCCATCTTTGGAATGTGGTGGAATTGCAGCCAGTTACGCTGCTAAACAAATCTATATTTTTCAAAGTTCACAATTTCTCGATTTGTGATGATTTTAACAGTTAGTTCGAGTCAGTCTTTATGAGGGAATAGAAGTAAAAGTTTGGTGCAGGATAACGACATTCCCTCATATAACTAGATAGATAAGTAAAACACAGTATGTTCAGGTCAAAAGAGATCAGCACACTAATAAACTGATACACAGCAATACTAGTACTAAGATTTGAAAGTAAACAGTGAGCAAATTATAATACAATCGTGCTACGAAAAGATATTATATGGATCTACTCCGGAATCTCGAAGAAGTCATTTTCGAAAGCAGCTTGTACTAAAGTGCATTAATTAAAATATTAAGTTAAAAATTATGTTAAAATACAGACAGTAAGATAAGCAGCTGATATCACGTTTTATAATACTTATTTTTTACATGTTTTTGAAATTTTTGAATTCTTTTTTGCATTTTTTTGCAATTTTTGAATTCTTTTCTAGAAAAATATTATATTGAAAAATCAGATATATTGCATGTCAATCACAATTCATAGTAAATCATATTCAAAGTCAAAAGTAAAAACGACCATTTGGTCGTTTAAAATGGTACACAAAATGGCACATATCACATAAATTCGAGAAACTTATACCAAAGAGAACCAATAAAATGTTGCATATTCCAAACCAAGCCTAAACAAAACTTAAACTTTCTTGTACATTTACATTAAATTCTTCTAGACTTTATTGTAAATGCTGTTTGTATAGTTTAGTTGTGTTGGCCTAGGTCTTTGCTGTTATTTGCATCGCGTCAGCAATGAGCGATGACTTGTCTATTTTTTTCTGACAAAATCAAACCAGCGACAAGAAAAAGTTTCGAGATTGTTCTTGCAGAGGATTATACCTGAAATAGTCGACTAAATCTGTTGCATTTCAACATTTTCGGTTGGAGGAGGAACCTGCCTAATGAAGATTTGAGACAACAAGGACCTAGCATGAGATATCTTTCTGGTCGCTCCTGAAACACCTCCCCCAACAGCCCTCGCTATAAATTCGTTGTAAAGGAGGGGGTTAATCACTGAATTGATGGGCAAAATCACCATGGATGTGACTGAATACCAAGGAGTTGCATCCACGATTTCAGAATAATGAAGCATGCAAATTATGATGAATGGCACCCAGCAGAGAAAATCAGTTATGATGATTACAGCTATCCTTTGGTTCATCCGCCTATTTCTTTGACGAATCTGCTCGTCGACTCTTCCAGCTGTCACCTTGTTGGACGATCTGTTTGAGAATACGCCGATGACAATGTAGCATGTTAATATCACCACGAAGCAGGTAAAGTTGATCACCAGGATGCTCCAAACAAATGCCATTTGTGGGTCAGTCTTCCGAATAAAGTATTTGAAAAGGCACACTCCATCGTTTCCGTAAAATCCAACTTTTGACTCTGTTTTTGTGAAGTCTAGTTTAGCTCCATGATCATGGGAGAACATTTCGGATGTCATCTTGTCTATCGTATCCCAACTTAAAGACCTGTCGTTCATACGACCGAAGTATTTTTCAAAAACTCCAGAGTGCGTCTTTTTGCTGACCAACCCGATGAAAAGTTTTAAGTCAGTGTCATATCGTACTCCATTCGCAAAGAAATCTTTATATTTTTCGAGAACAGGTAAGACCGCTATTGCAGCTGATAAGGCAAGAATAAAGACGTTCAGAGCAATAACTTTGATAGAACTTTTAATTGTTACTTCTCCAGGAATTCTCATTGAGCTCACGATACCATGAGCTCTCACCAAACTGAGAATTGTCATTGCAAACAGAGATAATTGAGATCCAATAGTGCTTGCAACTCCGAGAAGAGAGCATTCACTGCTTGTCAGCCAAGCCGTCTGCTTCGTACAGTAATCCTTACCATGCACCGCTACATCGAACACAGAAACCGCCAAAAGATACGATCCAACCAAAAGATCACCGACGCCGATCATGATTACCAACGATTTATTCGTTTGAGCCACAGTGGTTCTGCACTTCTTAAAAGATTTGATGCTGCACACGATGATGCTAAAGTTAGCTAAAACAGCCAAAATTCCAATTGTCCACGTAAGGCCCTTCAGTACATATCCGTCAAGAATTTCCTTTGAGCATTCATCATTACACTCGTCCGTCAAATCTAAACAGTCGAACTTTCCATCACACTTGCTTGTTTTGGGTATGTAATGTTCGGAGGCTTCACACTTGAAGTGATTAGTGCATCGTGCTTCATCCGACCCGTCACCACAGTCATCAACAAGATCGCACACCTGAGAGTAGGAAACACACTTGATGCCATTGTCACATACAAAGATATCATTAACGAATACGCTATCGTTGACACCTCCAGATTTTACAGCAAGTGTGAGATACTCGCCATTGCTTATGTTAGCTACAGTTGCCACTCTGTCGGGATATTGACCAGGACAGGAATTGTACCCGGGAATGTTTTTCAGTGGGCATGGTGAGTTAATACATTTGTCATTGCAGCTGGAGTATACATACTGCTCTCCAAACATGTGATCACAGTTTGTTGTAACATCAGGTAAAGTTATTTTCGATTTCATCAATCCATAAATGTCATCATTAGGAAAGATGAAATGCTCAGAACCACAAGGATAAGTTAATTTCCATACTTGCTCAAGTCCTTTGAAACAATAGGACAAGCGTTTTTCAAGTCCTTGGTTGTGAGTAACAACCTTTTTAGAAACAGAAATTGAACCCCTTGACTCCTTGCAGATTTCATTTTCATTTCCGCATGTGTCCATACCGTCACATAGGTCATCGAACCCGATGAATCCTGGATCACCAGTTGTACACAGAAAAACGTTCTCACAAGTTCTATTGTCAGTCACATATCTCCTTGTTTTACCGCTTCCACATTCCGGCCAAATGTTTTTTTCGTCATCACCGTTGATGCAATCCTTTATGCCGTCTCTTAGCCATGCAAGAGGAAGTGGTTGACTAAACGTTCCATTCCCGCCCCTTCTGATACAAGACTGTTTGGTTTTTGCTTGACACAATAGAATTCTTTCATCACTGTCATCTCTGCAGTCTGATACACCATTGCAAAGAAGATGTTTTTGTACATGACAGGATGTACTAACTTGTTCACAGATCGAATCAATACCATCGTCACAGTGTGGTACACGTTCACACATCCTATATTTAGATACAGTCGATATGTAGGCATGAATCTTACAAGTCATTCCAACCCTCAAATGATCCGAACAATTAAATTGATCTACGTTATTTGAACATATATTCGTGGGTGAGCACCTTGTGAAGTTGAATACTGGAAATTTATCATAAATTGGATTATATCTGTCAGCATTACTTATACTTCTGCGACATAGATCCTTTTCTTCAAAATTCTGTGGATTACACATTTCTGTGACGTTACAATTACAGTTTTCAGCATGTAAAGGTGTGCAGATGAAGATAGGTTTGGTGTACTGAACCTGATTGTCAACGTGAGAATATTGTCCGTAGGTTAGGCCGTTGCAATGAGCCTCATCTTCGCAGTGGACTCTATAATCATCACAAATGTCATTGCAGATGAGGTCTTGGTTTACTACCTTTCCAGTTGGTAAGATAACTTCTGTTTTATTTCCAAGTTGCTTATCCTCAACCGCTGCATCAACTAATATTCCATCATTACCAACTTGCCACTGACACAAAGCATTTGTTAACGACTGGAATTGTTGAAAAACCCCACATGATTGATATGATTTCTCATCGTTTGTACATTTCTGCTCAAAACTCATTTTCTCCAAACTTTTTCCATCGAGATCAAACCCTGACGAGAACATTGCTGGAAAACTGTTGTACCATTCATCAGAATTGCGACATTTTGATTTTGATCTTCCAGAGTATTGGTGACAGTTGAACCTCAAAAAACCCCACTGATTCTCGAAACTGCATCTTTCTGAAATTGAAACTGTCATCATTTTATGGAATGCCGGGGCAGTGAGAGCGGGATAGCGATGAAAGACCGTTTTATCACAGACACTATACTATTATAAAAACGGGATAAGCCAATAGGTAATTTAAACTGCGGAATCTGCAATAATCAGATTCATTTTGTAAGCTACTAGTATACTATAAAGTTAAATGATATTCTGTTGTTGAAGATTTGTATATCTTCATTTCATTGGCACAAATTATTTATATCTATCGACTATCAGTCTCCCATCATAGTTACAATTTGTGCAATGTGGCAATCTTTTTAGTACTATTGCGGTACAAATTCATTAAATTTGTGATTTTAAAATGAAAGTAAATGCCAAAATGGTGAATGTTTCTCACCAATTCCATCACATTGAAGGAACACATCGTCACTGTGGCCACAGTTGTTTGTAGATGTGAATGAACAAAAACTCCATTGTCCACTGCTACATTTAACATCATCCAGCGTGATTTGAAGTGTTGACTGGATGCTCCACTTATCACCACTAGTCCATTGCCAATAACCGGGGTATCCCATTTTACGACAAATAGCATCTGCTGATTTAGTGTTGAAACCATCGCTACAAACTGTTCCACCATTATTCATCAGCAAGCCAATAACTCCAGCACCGACAGCACTGCCATTAGAATCTACCAGACTAAACTCTGAAAATTTAATTACGTTAAAAATGATTACAGCCGTAACACAACAGCTGTTATCAGATTGTTGAAAGATTGTGGCAGAGTCAAATCTAATTTGCACAGGAAATTGGAAGGAAGTGGTTATTTAAGACCTGGACAAGTCTCGTTCTCGTTGCAAGTTTTACTCTCAGACGCTTCCCCAACACAGTCTGCACCTCCATGGGCTGGAGCAGGCCAAATACAAGTTCTTGTTCTTTTTTGAATGCCTCCTTCACAAAGAGCTGAACATTCAGACCACTCTCCAAAGTCACTATATCCGCCTTCAACTGAAAAAGATGAAATCATGCTTTTAATAATTATTTACAACGTTCAGTTAATTAACTGTTGAAATTTTTCATTATTTCCCCCTTTACTATTCCTGATGTAATCGGGATAATTTTAATTTATTTGATATCACAACTTTTCACAACAAATTAACCTTAATTTTGTTTACCTTTTAAAATTTGTTTACTAAAATTCAGACCTTTAGCTCTCGTGTAAATTATCAAAATTTAAATGTTTAATATAAGCTTTCATCTAAATAAAACATTATCTGTTTATACCTATTCCATCACATTGAAGAAACACATCTTCGCTGTGAGCACAGCTGTGTGTAGTAGAGAATGAACATGAACTCCATTCTTCACTGCTACATTTAACATCATCCAGCGTGATTTGAAGTGCTGATTGGATGCTCCACTTATCACCACTAGTCCATTGTAAATGTCCGGGGTATCCCATTTTACGACAAATAGCATCTGCTGATTTAGTGTTGAAACCATCGCTACAAACTGTTCCACCATTATTCGTCAGCAAGCCAAAAATTCTAACAGCACTGCCATTAGAATCTACCAGACTAAACTCTGAAAATTTAATTACGTTAAAAATGATTACAGCCGTAACACAACAGCTGTTATCAGATTGTTCAAAGATTGTGGCAGAGTCAAATCTAATTTGCACAGGAAGTTGGAAGGAAGTGGTTATTTAAGACCTGGACAAGTCTCGTCCTCGTTGCAAGTTTTACTCTCAGACGCTTTTCCAACACAATCTGCACCTCCATGGGCTGGAGCAGGCCAAATACAAGTTCTTGTTCTTTTTTGAATGCCTCCTTCACAAAGAGCTGAACATTCAGACCACTCTCCAAAGTCACTATATCCTCCGTCGACTAATAAAGATAAAATCATACTTATTATCATTAATTGATCATAACGTCCGTTTTAAAAACTGAGGGAAATTTAATTTTTTTTACCTGATTCTCAAAGTGTGTTTCACAGTTTTTACTAAAACTCAGACCTTTTAAAATGTAATTTACATGACGTTATGAAAGGTTAAAACATATATACATACCATTATTCATCAGCAAGCCAAAAATTCTAACAGCACTGCCATTAGAATAATTATAAACACCTCTGGGATAAAATAATCAATTCTGATAATCCCGGCACCCGCTGTTATTTTTTCCCGCTTAATAAATAACCCCGGCACAGTTTCTATAATCCCGTCCCGCTAATTTGGCTCAATTAGTTTTAAAATAATATGATAATTTCATCCGCACACTGTCACGTGTTTTGATGACGCGTATCATGTGACTAACAACTACGACGCGCATTGGTCAAAAATGTCACGTGACCTATGACCTACAACTATAAATATACTTGATCTACGTATCAGTTGAATTGCAGGCGCTGGCAAAGCTACAGCACACTGCTTACATAACTTGGACTCTTACATTACTTGAAACAGTTCCAGAACTTGTCTTGACGGTGACATTTGTCCGGTAAATTTTGTCGTAGCAATTGCACTGTTTGGTATGAGCCATGTATTATAGTCGTCTACATTGATGAACTTCATGACACGATATCAACTCCACCTTTTTTCGCTTGCCAGACTTAACTCGACGCCCCTTATCGATATTCATTCAACGTTGGGACTGAGGAACTATGTATAAATAGAACGCGAACACCAATTTCAACTGTCATAGCACCTTAGTTTTATTTATTTAGTAGTATAATATACGTCCCAATTCCATTTCATATTTTCCATACTGATCTCATATAGCTAGAATGAAAGGTAAATATTAAAACGAATTAGCCCTAGCACTTATAGCAACACCCCGGGGGAGTTTATAACACAAAACGCCGGCACACTTAAAGTTAAGGTTATATTAAAATAACCCCTCGTGCTAAAGCACGTCGGCGTTATTTTTATAATAATCCCTCGTGCTTCGCAGGAATAATTGAAATATAATCCCTGTGCGTGCCGGCGTTATGTGTGTTATATCTGTACTACAGCAGCCGAGACAAGATTGTTCAAAGATTGTAGCTGAGTTTAATCTAATTTGTTCAGAAAATTAGAAGAACGGGATGTTTTAAACCTGGACAGTCGTTCTCGTTGCAAGTTTGAACCTCTAAATCTTCCCCAACACAATCTGCACCTGAAGAGGCTGGAGGGGATGGAGGGGCTGGAGGGGATGGAGGGGATTGAGAAGGCTGAGTACAAGTTCTTGTTCTGGTTTGAAATCCTCCACCACAGGAAGCTGAACATTCAGACCACTCTCCAAAATCACTAAATCCGCCGTCAACTGAAAATAATAATGATTATACGTATAACAATTAATTAATCATAACGTCCGTTTATTATGTACGCGCTTTTTGTCGCCTAGGAACCGAGGCAGCAGGCAGGCAGGTAGCATGCAGGCAGCAGGGAGGCAGCAGGCAAGCAGCAGGAAGGCAGGCAGGGAAGCAGGGAGGAAATGCGAATCGGTATGCAATGCGAATTTACCTGGATCACGTGAAGTTTCGGGAGAATTAGTTTCGGAACTGTAAGTTGGAGTCACTAACAATAATATCAATAGAAACATGCCTTATACCAGGCGTAACATTTGTACGTTATTCTTGAAGTAAAACAAACGCAAGAGTCAGCTCTCTAAAGTGTGTGGGGTTGCTGTAAGAGGTAGACAGAAGGCAATGATAGGATAAGCTCATGGGCACGTTAGGGCACGTTGCCATTGTTGTAACATGTACATAGCATGACTAAGGATTAAGGAACAATCCAAATTACTCTTTACAATTAGAGTGGGGACCCTCTGGTTGCAAGACCTATGTTTAGTTTCATGAGCCACATCGTTTGAAGACCAGTAAAAAGATAAAATCATGCTTTGAAAGTTGAATTGCGTTAAGGAACAATCTAAATTACTCTTTACAATTAGAGTAGGGACCCTCTGGTTGCAAGACCTATGTTTAGTTTCATGAGCCAAATCGTAATTTCAGGACCCGTATGGATGCATGAAAATTAACATTCACACCTAGTACAATCCACTGCGGTGCCTTATCCAGCTTCTATTTATAAATTCTTTAAATCGTACATGTTAGATGGACTCTATCTTATAAAATAAAGTGAAATGTCAAATGTTTTTATATCACGCTCATATGAATAACCAACCGACACAAGGAAGGCAGTTATAACCATGTAGCCAATCAGAATACACGACATATTATGTGAGCTCGCCTGGAGGTCAGAAGCGGGACTTTGGGTAGGGCAGCATCTCACATCATACCTACCTACCTTGGGTACCTTGGGTTCGTTTCGGGCTAGCACGCCCAGGCCAAGACATCTTGCATAGTTGGGGGGGGGGGAAATCCCTCCACGAACTTTTAAAAGGTGCCGAACTCCACGACCTTTTAAAAGCAATAACGATCATCCAGATATGTGCAGAATAAATATGACTGTGTTAACTATACTGCTTTATGGAAGTGAGGTATGGATTACCCAAAAACGCAGATGAAAAGATTTGAAGTGTTTCATCAAAGATGCTTGAGAAGAATCCTGAAATCAAATGGTACTACCGTGTATCTAACGCTGACGTACTCAAGCGGGCTAACATCGCCCCTGTTGATATTGTTGGTTTGGTCATGTGGTGTGGATGCCAAAAGAGAGAATACCCAACTATCTTCTGCACTGGATCCCAAAGCATGGCAAAAGGTCTAGAGGCAGGCCTCGCAAGAACTGGTTATCATGTGTCCTAGAAGATGCGGCTATTTTCACAGGTGTTGATAATATCACAATGTAAACTGCAGAGCAACAAGCAACAAACATGGTACATCGGAGTAAGGAGTTAAGTGCTAAAAAGGTTTTTCTCAATTAGGCGAGTCGCTTAAATACCGACTTTTGGTCTTTCTTTTTTTCAGGTTTTGGACCAATTTTTACCTGATCCGTCACATCAATTCCTACAAGAACCTCCAAAGAATTAATTGATTGAACAATAGATGACCACGTTACAAGCCGATTAAAGCTGAGTCAAGTAGAACTACATTTTTTGCTCCGGCAATATTGTAAATGCAACCGATCATAAGGTTATTAAGGTATCGTTCTACAAATTCTTAAGAGTGTAGTGTAGCTGAACAAGTATTTCTAGCCAGATTATAAGTTTAATTTTTAACAGTAAAATCAAAGTTTTTAGAGATCAATAAACTAAGCAAATCTCACAGCAATCCAAGATTCAAAAAATATGAACTATAACTATAAGAAATTGTTTCCCAAATAGCACTTTAAGAAAACGGGGAAAAAGATAGGGATCTACCTCGAAAATTTAGCCTAAATAATTTTGTACAGAAATGTAGCAAGTTTATAAATTTCCATCGCTCATAGACTTTATAAAGTTAAATATACGTTAGAAATTATAAATGTACGCCGACAAAATTCAGAAGGTAGACAGGCTGAAGCCCTGACAGTCATATTTTTGTAATAATCTTTTAATATATATTTATCAATATATTTATAACTAAATCATATACATTATTACATTGTCTTTCATTGTGTATAAAACTCAAAGTCAGAAGTAAAAACGACCTAACCACATTAAGGACAAGAAAGAGTTTGCAATAAATACATGATGTATGATATCATGGAAATAGTCGACTATACTACTACTAAATCTCCTGCATTTCCACGTTTTCAGTAGGTGGAGAGCCGATTCGAGAGTACAAGACTGAGGCATGGCGAGATATCTTTCTGCTAGCTTCTGATAACTTGTTCACCATATATTGCGTGATAAAATCATTGTAGAGCAGGGGGTTGATAACCGAATTGATGGGAAGAATCACCATGGATATGATTGAATACCAAGGAGTTGCATCCACGATTTCAGTATAGTGAAGCATGCAAATTATGATGAATGGCACCCAGCAGAGAAAATCCGTCGTGATGATGATAGCAATCTTTTGGTTCATCCGCCTATTTCTTTGACGAATCTGCTCGTCGACTCTTCCAGCTGTCACCTTGTTGGACGATCTGTTTGAGAATACGCCGATGACAATGTAGCATGTTAATATCACCACGAAGCAGGTAAAGTTGATCACCAGGATGCTCCAAACAAATGCCATTTGTGGGTCTGTCTTCCGAATAAAGTATTTGAAGAGGCATACTCCATCGTTTCCGTAAAATCCAACTTTTGACTCTGTCTTTGTGAAGTCTTTAGCTCCATGATCATGAGAGAACATTTCGGATGTCATCTTGTCTATCGTATCCCAACTTAAAGACCTGTCGTTCATACGACCGAAGTATTTTTCAAAAACTCCAGAGTGAGTCTTTTTGCTGACCAACCCGATGAAAAGTTTTAAGTCAGTGTCATATCGTACTCCATTCGCAAAGAAATCTTCGTACTTTTGGAGAACAGGTAAGACCGCTATTGCCGCTGATAAGGCAAGAATGAAGACGTTCAGAGCAATAACTTTAATAGAACTCTTAACCGTTACTTCTCCAGGAATTCTCATTGAGCTCACGATACCATGAAATCTCACCAAACTGAGAATTGTCATTGCAAACAGAGATAATTGAGATCCAATAGTGCTTGCAACTCCGAGAAGAGAGCATTCACTGCTTGTCAGCCAAGCCGTCTGCTTCTTACAGTAATCCTTACCATGCACCGCTACATCGAACACAGAAACCGCCAAAAGATACGATCCAACCAAAAGATCACCGACACTTATCATGATTACCAACGATTTATTCGTTTGAGCCACAGTGGTTCTGCACTTCTTAAAAGATTTGATGCTGTACACGATGATGCTTACATTAGCCAAAACAGCCAAAAGTCCAATGGTCCACGAAAGTCCCTTTAGTACACTTCCTTCAAGAATTTCCTTTGAGCATTCATCATTACACTCGTCCGTCAAATCTAAACAGTCGAACTTTCCATCACACTTGCTTGTTTTGGGTATGTAATGTTCAGAGGCTTCACACTTGAAGTGATTAGTGCATCGTGCTTCATCCGACCCGTCACCACAGTCATCGACAAGATCGCACACCTGAGAGTAGGAAACACACTTGATGCCATTGTCACATACAAAGATATCATTCACGAACACGCTGTCATTGACACCTCCAGATTTTACAGCAAGTGTGAGATACTCGTCATACTCATTGCATTTCCCTTTGTTAGCTACAGTTGCCACTCTGTCGGGGTATTGGCCAGGACAGGAATTGTATCCGGGAATGTTTTTCAGTGGGCATGGTGAGTTAATACATTTGTCATTGCAGCTGGAGTATACATACTGCTCTCCAAACATATGATCACAGTTTGTTGTAACATTAGGTAAAGTTATTTTCGATTTCATCAATCCATAAATGTCATCATTAGGAAAGATGAAATGCTCAGAACCGCAAGGATAAGTTAATTTCCAAACTTGCTCAAGTCCTTTGAAACAATAGGACAAGCGTTTTTCAAGTCCTTGGTTGTGAGAAACAACTTTTTTAGAAACAGAAATTGAACCCCTTGACTCCTTACAGATTTCATTTTCATTTCCGCATGTGTCAATACCGTCACATAGGTCATCGAACCCGATGAATCCTGGATCACCAGTAATGCACATAAAAACGTTCTCACAAATACTATTGGCAGTCACATATCTTCTTGTTTTACCGCTTCCACATTCCGGCCAAATGTTTTTTTCGTCATCACCGTTGATGCAATCCTTTATGCCGTCTCTTAGCCATGCAAGAGGAAGTGGTTGACTAAACGTTCCATTCCCGCCCCTTCTGACACAAGACTGTTTGGTTTTTGCTTGACACAGTGGGATTCTTTCATCGCTGTCATCGCTGCAGTCTGATACACCATTGCAAAGAAAATGTTTTTGTACATAACAGGATGTACTAACTCGTTCACAGATCGAATCAATACCGTCGTCACAGTGTGGTACATCTGCACACATCCTATATTTAGATACAGTCGATATGTACGCATGAATCTTACAAGTCATTCCAACCCTCAAATGATCCGAGCAATTAAATTGATCTACGTAATTTAAACATATATTTGTGGGTGAGCACCTTGTGAAGTTGAATACTGGAAATTTATCATAAATTGGATTATGTTTGTCAGAACTAATTGTGCTTCGGCGACATAGATCCTTTTCTTCAAAATTCTGTGGATTACACATTTCTGTGACGTTACAATTACAGTTTTCAGCATGTAAAGGTGTGCAGATGAAGATAGGGTTTGTATAGTTAATTTGGTTGTCACCGTGAGAATATTGTCCGTAGGTTAGGCCGTTGCAATTGGCCTCATCTTCACAGTCGACGGCTCTATTAATATCATCACAAATGTCATTGCATATGAGGTTTTGGTTTACTACCTTTCCTGTTGGTAAGATAACTTCTGTCTTATTTCCAAGTTGCCTATCTTCAACCGCTGCATCAACTAATATTCCATCATTACCAACTTGCCACTGACACAAAGCATTTGTTAACGACTGGAATTGTTCAAAATTAAAAGTTCCACAAGCTTGATATGATTTTTCATCGTTTATACATTTAAATTGTAGTGTATTTTTCACCACCACTTTTCCATCAGGACCCATCCTTCCTTTCTGTCCTTTACTGTACCATTCATCAGAGTGGCGACATTTTGATTGCAAATTTCCAGAATAAGGGTGGCAGTTGAACTTCAGAAAGCCTCCCTGATTCTCTAAACCGCATCTTTCTGAAATTGAAACTGTCAACAATTCATGGAATGCCGGGGCAGTGACAGCGGGATAGTGGCGAAAGACTGTATCAGATAATGTTTCAATTTTAATAATAATTGTTGTGAAATTCGTCAAAGAATTTATCTTCTCCTTCAACGCAATAAACAAGTTCTGTCGGGGGGGGGGGATGATTTAAAATGACACAACTGTTTATTTGTTAGTTTGTTCACATTTTTTTAAATTTTATCCATAGAAATTTATGGGGATTATAACATTTTATGGCATATTATTCAGACATTTTATGATATTTTATGCCATTTTGGAATTTAACATTTATATATCGAGTTGAAATACGATAAAAAGGCAAAACTGTCAACCTTTTTACAAACATTTGTCTCGCCAAGTTGATTACGATCCTTTAAACATTAAGTCAAAATAAGGTAAATAACGGATACTTTTGAATTCATTGTACAATGTACATGTTAGGTGTCACATATTATGTAATTCGATGATCAAAATCCATGTCATAAATGGCATATAATTTCAATTTACTCAAAGGTTTTTTCCATCCATTTTCTACATAAAAATGTTGTCATTTTAGGTCATTGATTAATTTCTCACCGATTCCATTACATTGAAGGAACACATCTTCGCTGTGACCACAGTTGTGTGTAGTAGAGAATGAACATGAACTCCATTCCCCACTGCTGCATAAAACATCATCCAGCGTGATTTCAAGACTTGATTGGATGGTCCACTTATCACCACTAGTCCATTGTAAATGTCCAGGGTATCCCATTTTACGACAAATAGCATCTGCCGAGTTAGTACTAAAATCATCGTCGCAAACTTTTCCACCATTGTTCATCAACAAGCCAAGAACCCCAGCACCGACAGCATTGCCATTTAAATCTACCAGACTAAATTCTGAAAAGTGAATTATGTTAGAAATGATCATATTTGGGGTGGGCGACAATTGACCCCCCGACAATTGACCCCCCGACAATTGACCCCCCGACAATTGACCCCCCGACAATTGACCCCCCGACAATTGACCCCCCGACAATTGACCCCCCGACAATTGACCCCCCCGACAATATAATTTAATACAATTGACCCTGACTCTGACCCTGACCCTGACCCTGACCCTGACCCTGACCCTGACCCTGACCCTGACCCTGACCCTGACCCTGACCCTGACCCTAACCCTAACCCTAACCCTAACCATAACCCTAGCCCTAACCCTAACTCTAACCCTAACCCTAACCCTAACCCTGACCCTGACCCTAACCCTGACCCTGACCCAGGACTCTGACCATAACCCTAACCCTGACCCTGACCCTGACCCTGACCCTGACCCTGACCCTGACCCTGACCCTGACCCTAACTCTAACCATAACCATAACCCTAACCCTTACCCTGACCCAGGACCCTAACCCTAACCCTGACCCAGGATCCTGACCCTAACCCGATCAATTGACCCCAGTGTAATTACATGGGGGGTCAATTGTCGGGGGGTCAATTGTCGTACTAAACCCTAGATTTCGCGACAATTGACCCCAGTGTAATTACATAGGGGTCAATTGTCGGGAGGTCAATTGTCGGGGGGTCAATTGTCGGGGGGTCAATTGTCGGGGGGTCAATTGTCGCGGTACCCATATTTGTACTGCAGAAGCCATGATAAGACTGTATAAAGATTGTGGAAGAGTTAAATCTTAATTGCACAGAAAATTGGAAGGAAGTGGTTATTTAAGACCTGGACAAGTCTCGTCCTCGTTGCAAGTTTTACTCTCAGACGCTTCCCCAACACAATCTGCACCTCCATGGGCTGGAGCAGGCTGAGTACAAGTTCTTGTTCTGGTTTGAGTGCCTCCTTCACAAAGAGCTGAACATACAGACCACTCTCCAAAATCACTATAACCTCCGTCGACTGAAAAAGATAAAATCATGCTTTTAATAATTAATTACACAGTAAACGACCGGAACATGATTTCAGGCCTGACCGGGACCGGGACCAAGAATCCTGAATTAACTGGGACCGGGACCGGGACCGGGATCATAAATCAGCATTTGACCGGGACCGGGACCGGGATGAAAAATGTGACTTGACCGGGACCGGGACCGGGACCGGGATAGCTCAAAATTGCCAATCCCGGTACCGGGATTCCCGGTACCGGGATTCCCGGTACCGGGAATCCCGGTCGTTTACTGTAATTACAACTTTCGGTTAATAAATTAATAGACGTTTTAATTTTGTCCCTAATTTCCTAGCATGTAACTCCCCTCCTTTTATTTACTTTGCCTATATAATTGGAAATATTTTAGTTTATATTTTGAAGCCACAACTTTTGAAGAAAACTTTTAAATTTTCGATCTTCTTTTTAAAATATTTATCGAAATTCAAACTGTTTGGTCGTGCAAATTATCAACATTTTAATGTTTAAGCTTTGAGCTAAATGTAACATTCTCTGATTATACCTATTCCATCACATTGAAGAAACACATCTTCGCTGTGAGCACAATTGTGTGTAGTAGAGAATGAACATGAACTCCATTCCCCACTACTACATTTAACATCATCCAGCGTGATTTGAAGTGTTGATTGGATGCTCCACTTATCACTACTAGTCCATTGTAAATGTCCAGGGTATCCTATTTTACGACAAACAGCATCTGCCGAGTTAGTATTGAAATAATCGTTGCAAACTGTTCCACCATTATTCATCAGCAAGCCAAGAATCCCAGTACCAACGGCATTGCCATTCGAATCTACCAGACTAAACTCTGAAGGTTGAATTATGTTTAAAATAGCTAATTTTGAAGTGCAGCAACCGTGTCCAAATTGTTCAAAGGTTACAGCAGAGTTAAAATTAAATCTAATTTGCACAGAAAATTGGAAGGAAGTGGTTATTTAAGACCTGGACAGTCGTCCTCGTTGCAAGTTTTACTCTCAGACGCTTCCCCAACACAATCTGCACCTCCATTGGCTGGAGCAGGCTGAGTACAAGTTCTTGTTCTGGTTTGAGTGCCTCCTTCACAGAGAGCTGAACATTCAGACCACTCTCCAAAATCACTATATCCTCCGTCGACTAATAAAGATAGAATCATACTTATTATAATTAATTGATCATAACGTCTGTTTTAAAAACTGAGGGAAATTTAATTTTTTTACCTGATTCTCAAAGTGTGTTTCACAATTTTTACTGAAACTCAGACCTTTTTAAAATGTAAATTATCGACGTTTGACAGATTACAACTTTTATATTAAATAAACAGATTCTCTTTTTTTACCTATCCCATCACATTGAAGGAACACATCTTCGCTGTGAAAACAATCGCTTGTAGATTTAAATGAACAAGAACTCCACTCCCCATTGCTGCATAAGACATCATCTAACGTGATTTCAAAACTTGCTTGTATGGGCCACTTCTCACCACTAGTCCATTTAAAACCTCCGAGGTATCCCATTTTACGACAAATAGCATCTGCCGAGTTAGTGCTGAATGCATCGTCACAAACTGTTCCTCCATTATTCATCAATAAGCCGAATGTTCGAGCACCCACAGCTTTTCCAATAGAATTTATCAGACTAAACTCTGAAAGTTAAATTTTGTCAAAAGAGTTATCTATAAAGTGCTGTAGCGGAGTTAATTAAGAAAATGATACTTGTAACAATAAATCTATCATAACGCAATCTAATAAACTGGCGGAAATTTTAATTTTTGTCCCTGTTCTTCACTGAATGCCTTATCGGACGTAATTGTCACGAACATTACTTTCACGCTGGAGAGCTTAGCTTGAATAATTATGTCCGTGAAAATAATGTCTGGCATTAAAATAATAAAGTCCGGTAATTGTTTCCATTAATTTTAGTGTGTGTGTCCCTACATAAGCGTAGATATGTGTATAGCTGATTACTATATTAGCTTATTAGTATACTAGGACAAATATAATCACTCCTTAGTCACATTCACTCTGTATTCAATTTACATAATGTAAGTTAAAGTACTTAAGTTATAACACCATGATCACATGACTTTGATTCTAGAGTTCAGAAAAAGAGAAAAACGCTTATCAAAACATCACCAACAATTTTCACAATTTCTGGGCGGTAATGAACGTGAAAAATTTGGTCCCTGAAAAACTTGTCCGTGACAATTATGTCCGATAAGGTATGTAACTACCCTTTAATTTTCCTACATAGTTGCGATTATTAAAGTTTATTTGAATTTGCTGCAAATTTTAACGAAAATTAGCTTTTATTTTTTAAACAACTTTTAGACAATTTCAACTGAAATCAAATGAAAGCTTAACTGATGCTGATTCAGAACTTTTGCTTTTGTAAATTGTAATTTACATGACGTTATGAAAGGCTAAAACATATAGATTAAATGGGTAAATTCTCTGTTTATACCTATTCCGTCACATTGAAGGAACACATCTTCGCTGTGACCACAGTTGTGTGTAGTAGAGAATGAACATGAACTCCATTCCCCACTGCTGCATTGAAAATCATCCAGCGTGATTTCAAGACTTGATTGGATGGTCCACTTATCACCACTAGTCCATTCAGTATGCCCGAGGTATCCCATTTTACGACAAATAGCATCTGCCGTGTTAGAGTCGAAACCATCGTCACAAACTGTTCCTCCATTGTTCATCAATAAGCCAAGAATTTTAGCAGTAACACCAACGACATTGCTATTAGAATCTATCAGACTAAACTCTGAAAATTGAATTACGTTAGTCCAAATTTTCCAAAGATTCCAGCAGGGTAAAATCAAATTTGTTTAGAAAATTAGAAGGACAGGGATATTTTAAACCTGGACAATCGTCCTCGTTGCAAGTTTGAGTCTCCGACGCTTCCCCAACACAATCTGCACCTCCATGGGCTGGAGAAGGCTGAGTACAAGTTCTTGTTCTGGTTTGAGTGCCTCCTTCACAAAGAGCTGAACATTCAGACCACTCTCCAAAGTCACTATATCCTCCGTCGACTAAAAAAGATAAAATCATAAAAATTAATCATGGCAAGTCCGTTTAATAAACTAATGGCAGTTTTAATTTGTTTAACCTACCATAATACCATTGCCGAAGGCAAAAAGATCATGAGGAATAAGTAATCAGGTTTATATATGAAGTGGCCGAACGGCGCTACGATGACGAAAGAAGTCTGCTCCTTCAAAATATAGACCACTCCCATTTAATTATGTGGATAGGAGACGTATACTTTGCTGTGCGCAACACCGGTCAAGAGTTAATCAATTACACCCGAAATTGCTACCTGTATTTATTATTTTTTCGCGATTTTCTGGATTGATTTATTGTTAGTGCGCTGCACTAAAGTGGTCAAGTAAATCGTCAATTTATCATGCACAGATCCTACGCCACTCATTTATGGAAAATATAGTATGTAAATATTCTGCATTCAAAAAAGTTAATCTGCAAGCCTAAAATGACACGATTGTAAGATGCGCCACACTTTCATTTGAAATAATTACTTGTACAAGTGCATTGTAGGGACTAGTGAAAATTGATCGTGCGTGGGCCGTGGTGTAACCGCGGCGAAATTCTTGTTATCCCTATTGTTCACAGCATGTAACTCCCCTCCTTTTATTTAATATTCCTATCCCATTCCTATATAATTGAGATTATTTTAGTTTATTTTAAGAAAATTAACCTTTAAATTTGTATTCTTTAGAAAATACTTTTATTTGAGCTAAATAGAACATTCTTTGATTATACCTATTCCGTCACATTGAAGGAACACATCTTCGCTGTGACCACAGTTGTGTGTAGTAGAGAATGAACATGAACTCCATTCCCCACTGCTGCATAAAACATCATCCAGCGTGATTTCAAGACTTGATTGGATGGTCCACTTGTCACCACTAGTCCATTCAGTATGCCCGAGGTATCCCATTTTACGACAAATAGCATCTGCCGAGTTAGTACTAACATCATCGTCACAAACTGTTCCACCATTATTCATCAGCAAGCCAAGAATCCCAGCACCAACGGCATTGCCATTCGAATCTACCAAACTAAACTCTGAAAATTTAGTTACGTTAGAAATGATTACATTTGTACTACAGCTGCAACCGTGACCAAATTTTGTCGATCACGAATTTACTGTTTCAGGTATTCAAACTTAGACTCCCTGAAATTTTCGTAAAATTTCGTCCATTACAGTAGCTACCAGAGGCACATATTAGGTGCGATGGGTGCGGGATCGCACAATTTACCGTTTTCCGCAAATTTCCGCATAATTTATTGTTTTCCGCACATTTTGTTATTTTCTGCATATTTCCGCATAATCTAGCATTTTCCGCGTAATTTCGAATAATTTTGAAATTTTCGCGTTAAGATTTTTGAGTGTAAAAACCAAAATATGTTAAAAGTCGGGCCCTTTTAGGACCGTGACTCAGGCCCTTTTAGGACCGTGACTCAGGCCCTTTCAGGACCGTGACCCAGGCCCTTTTGGAACTCATACCTAGGCCACGTGACCCAGGCCCTTTCGGGACCCTGACCCAGGCCCTTTCGGGACCGTGACCCAGGCCCTTTCGGGACCCTGACCCAGGCCCTTTCGGGACCGTGACCCAGGCCCTTTTGGAACTCATGCCTAGGCCACGTGACCCGGTTACCACGTGACCCAGGCCCTTTCGGGACCATGACCCAGGCCCTTTCGGGACCGTGACCCAGGCCGTTATGGAACCTTCGTCGTTACCGTACTTGGATCATACCTGCATCCCTTTTTATCGGGTAGTGAGCTCTATTCGTTGTAGCGTTGGCTTTATGGTGGGCTTAATGGATCTGGGATCAAATGGTTTACAAGTACTGACGATCAATGCCTACAAGCGTGTCACATATTTGCGATCACGCATGGGATCTGATCGACTCTATCAAGAGGCGTCTTCAAATAACTGTCTCCTGATCTCTACCAGATCAAGTCACTGTTCTCAGATAACTGAATCTCAATATAGGTTCAATCATGGTCTTAGTAAAGAACTACACCCTCAGTAACACATAAACAGACCTATTTTTGATAAGAGCGGCGGTTATACGTTTAGAATTTCCAAAGTCCTTCAGAAAATGCAAAAGAAAACCGCACAATTCCTGCACAAATTTCGAAAAAATCGTCGCACATTTGCCGCATAATTGGTAAAAATTTACCGCACATTACCGCACATTTTACCTTTATAGTCGGGTGCGGTACCGCATAATTTCGATTTTTTTACCGCACCTAATATGTGCCTTTGGTAGCTACGAACTCAAAACTTTCTGGCTACTATTAGATAATTATAAACTGACGGGAATGTGATCTCGTCACTCAATGTTTACTGTTTAGTTTTTAGTTGTCATTGAAAAGATCATGCTTTGTTTATGATGGAAACAATTGAAAAACCGAAGGGTTCAAGTAAAGCAGTTTATTTAGCTGTGACTCACCTTGCTGCCCTTCCACATTGACATCTCCTGCTGTGTCCTCAGTTCTCACCACATGATCAAGCACCAGCGTTAAACTGCATGGAAATGCGAATGAATTGATCAATTAAATTAGTATTGATCATCAATGGTGACTCTAAAAATAATATTTGAAGATTTGAATATTGGTTGCATTTTTTCAGCTTTAAAAGAATTGTTACTGCTGTATCATGTAACTACATGCAAAATCTTTGCTGTCACAATACCAATAGTTCTTAATTGATTCAAGTATCCAACTATTATACGGATTTTACCTTATCAGACAAGAGATCACATTGCACCTCATATAATCGTTGTTGAAATAAACGTGCCTTGATCAACTTTTGGCAATCTAGAACAAAATAAAACTGTACAATCTATTGAAATATCTATATTGTGGTATAACCAAGCAGTACTTCATAACACAATAGAGCAGATATCTCACGCGGAGATACTTGTCTCAGGCTAAAAGCGCCCACGTGATGTTCTAGACAGCCCTGAGTACTGGGTTGAGTGGGTAGTACTAGTAGTGCAGTTTTCAATTCTATTTTCATCTTCGTGCCAGTAAACCCGTGGACTGCGGTGAAAATATATTTGATCATTGTTCGGTTAATCAAAAGACAATGTTCGGTTAATTTTCGGACAATGTTCGGTTAATCAAAAGACAATAGCTATTATACTGCTGCTAGCATGTCAGAGAGAGCTTTGTTTAAAATTAAAACCGTGTGAGATTATAAATTGTGCTGACCAGGAACCAAAGCAAGTGAAGTTGAAAGAATACACTGAGCGGATAAAGCCAGTCAATGTCATGAAGAACAATTTACAGATGTGTATCCAGGTCCTTGCCAGGACCAAAACTAACCAAAAATTTACAAAATTCAATATCTATAAACAATTTAACTCCTGTACAGGGTTACGCATTGATCCACTTCTCTCGGATATTGACAGTCAGTGGATAGTCTACAACCGACCACAAGATCTCACTAATAAACATGCTGGATTCCTCTTCGCGCTAGGTTACCTTTATTTTACATTTCTTTATTTTGTTTTATTATTTGTAGACCTTTCATTTGTACAGATGAGTTAGATGGATGTAAATTTCCATGTGGATCCATCTTCCTTTTTTCTTATTCGGTACCTGAGTGTAAAGATGGTTTTTTAAACATCTATTTTGTTAATTTCACGATAATACTTTGATTAACATAAATTCACATAATCTTTGGGTGAAGTTTCATTTTCACGGCAGGACTGACGGGACATCTCAAGAAACTCTCGTCTCGGAATTTGCACGACTATCTCTGTCAAAGACACAAGTTTACTAGCATTGGACTGCTTCTTGGTAATATACATATTTCAAACAGAAATTTGAAGCATGGTATTAGACGTAAACCATCATTTTCTTTCCTTGAAAAATTATGCAAACCAAGAATGTGTTTTTAAATTTGACGATCACAAAATTGTTTCCACCTCTAGAGTAAACATATAACCGATAACTGATAATAACCAATAGGAACTATTAGGCATCCAGCTCGCCATTTTTGAGATTCAAGCAAATCAATGACGTTCAAAGGGTGTAGGATGTTCAGCTCGACAAAAACCAGTGGAAATTATTTCGTGGCCCTAAATTAACTCCACCAGATCCAGTCTTAACCTTAAATTTTACATCACTCACTAGCTGAAGTAGCCCTGATACGTCCGATTAGAACCTCTAAGAGTGGCCATCAGCTCGCCATTTTTTAGATTCAAGCAAATCGAGGATGTTCAGCTCGACAAAATAGTTGTTAGCCATAACTATAAGAGTCATTTTTCACAACTCAGCATATCTACAGGATTGGGGGTCACAAATAAAGGAACTCAAGACGAGACCACCACAAAGCTGTTCTCAATCCATATTCCAGCCCTCCTCCCTCCCACTGCTGTCCCTCTGGAACTCGACCACCTGGTTCAAACTGCTGCTATCGCTGGTCTTGGTCTTGTCTACATCGGGTCAGCTCATCGCCGCATGGCTGAGATTTTGTTAGATGAAATCGGGCGTGCCCCAGGTTCGAAACTGGCCTTGAAAGATGATTTGTTTTTCCAGGGATTGTCATATATTGTGTTACTTGGTTAGCCTTGCCGCCTTGGTAAGTTAGCTGTATATTCTCGGCTGCTGGTTGTCAACTCCCGGTTATTTTGGGGACTGGGGAGTAATCACTGTTTTTAATTATTATTTATACTGTGATTAGGACCGGAAATGGACAACTCGGAGGACAGAGAAGGATACTCGTTAGCATGTGGTTTCAGTTTAGGATTGGTCTTGCTCGGCATGGGAAATGAGAACCTGCCTGGACTTGATGATCTCAAACTATCTGACAGGTTAGTTCATTGTTTGCTGCTGGGTCCTGCTATTCTTTGTCTTCATAATCGGTACTCAAATAGATGTTTTCAAAACGTATTCTGTTTATTAAAATTAATGCTCATATAATTTGCTGTTGTTTTCTTTTATCTATGATGCTCCCTTTTGTAGCTAAATAGGGTTTGGTGAAAGTATCTTTGTCGTGAAACCTCCAATAAAGGGTAATTAAATTGTTGTACAATCATTTACTATTTGTAATTGACCCAACAATTTTACCTGCAGCAGATTCATAATACAAAATTTAGAACAAAATATAGGAATACATATTCTACAGGTTATACAAGTACATTAACGGAGGAAAGAAGGAAGAATCCTCTTCCGTGGTACCACCCAGCTTCAGAATATGGGAGGGTAACATGATTAACACTAGTGTTAGTTCTATTGGAGCTACTGTTGCCCTCGGACTGACCTTCCTCAAAACAGGTTATTCTCTTAAAATCTTTCTGTTTTGAATTTTAATACGAGTTGGATACAAATACACATGTGTATAACGATATTCGATTATCTTCAATAAAAATTTGAGATGGGTGTAATGAGCTTTTAAGGGATACTGATGTAATGATACTGGTGTTATGATACTGGTGTTATGATACTGGTGTAATGTTACTGGTGTAATGATGCTGGTGTAATGTTACTGGTGTTATGATACTGGTGTAATGATACAGGTGTAATGTTACTGGTGCAATGATACTGGTGTTATGATACTGGTGTAATGTTACAGGTGTAATGTTACAGGTGTAATGATACTGGGTGGGCGACAATTGACCCCCCGACAATTGACCCCCCGACAATTGACCCCCCGACAATTGACCCCCCGACAATTAACCCCCCGACAATTGACCCCCGACAATTTACCCCCCGACAATTTACCCCCCGACAATTGACCCCCGGCTGACCTTGACCCAGGACCCAGGACCCAGGACCCAGGACCCAGGACCCAGGACCCTGACCCTGACCCAGAACCCTAACCCTAACCCTAACCCTAACCCTAACCCTAACCCTAACCCTAACCCTAACCCTGACCCTAACCCTAACCCTAACCCTAACCCTAACCCTAACCCTGACCCTAACCCTAACCCTGACCCTGACCCAGGACACTGACCCTAACCCTAACCCTAACCCTAACCCTAACCCTAACCCTAACCCTAACCCTAACCCTAACCCTAACCCTAACCCTGGAACTCATACCTAGGCCACGTGACCCAGGCCGTTTCGGGACCCTGACCCAGGCCCTTTCGGGACCGTGACCCAGGCCCTTTCGGGACCCTGACCCAGGCCCTTCCGGGACCGTGACCCAGGCCCTTTTGGAACTCATGCCTAGGCCACGTGACCCGGTTACCACGTGACCCAGGCCCTTTCGGGACCATGACCCAGGCCCTTTCGGGACCGTGACCCAGGCCGTTATGGAACCTTCGTCGTTACCGTACTTGGATCATACCTGCATCCCTTTTTATCGGGTAGTGAGCTCTATTCGTTGTAGCGTTGGCTTTATGGTGGGCTTAATGGATCTGGGATCAAATGGTTTACAAGTACTGACGATCAATGCCTACAAGCGTGTCACATATTTGCGATCACGCATGGGATCTGATCGACTCTATCAAGAGGCGTCTTCAAATAACTGTCTCCTGATCTCTACCAGATCAAGTCACTGTTCTCAGATAACTGAATCTCAATATAGGTTCAATCATGGTCTTAGTAAAGAACTACACCCTCAGTAACACATAAACAGACCTATTTTTGATAAGAGCGGCGGTTATACGTTTAGAATTTCCAAAGTCCTTCAGAAAATGCAAAAGAAAACCGCACAATTCCTGCACAAATTTCGAAAAAATCGTCGCACATTTGCCGCATAATTGGTAAAAATTTACCGCACATTACCGCACATTTTACCTTTATAGTCGGGTGCGGTACCGCATAATTTCGATTTTTTTACCGCACCTAATATGTGCCTTTGAACCCTAATCCTGACCCTGACCCTGACCCAGGACCCTAACCCTAACCCTAACCCTAACCCTAACCCTAACCCTGACCCAGGACCGGGGACCCTGACCCAGGATCCTGATCCAGGACCCTGACCCTAACCCGATCAATTGACCCCAGTGTAATTACATGGGGGGTCAATTGTCGGGGGGTCAATTGTCGTACTCAGCCCTAGATTTCGCGACAATTGACCCCAGTGTAATTACATAGGGGTCAATTGTCGGGGGGTCAATTGTCGGGGGGTTAATTGTCGGGGGGTCAATTGTCGCGGTACCAATGATACTGATGTAATGTTACAGGTGTGATGTACTGGTGTAATGACGCTATTTGATTACAGGTAACCAGAACATAGCCCGGACTCTAGCAGCTCCCCACACAGAGTTTCTACTGGAGGGTGTCAGGCCGGACATGCTGCTCCTCAGGTCAGTGTGTTATGGGCTTATCATGTGGGACGAGATCTTACCAACAACCGACTGGATCAACTCTCAAGTTCCCGAGGTACTGTCTGTCTGTCTAATGTATGTCTAATGTCTGTCTAATATATGTATAATGTCTGTCTAATGTATGTCTAATGTCTGTCTAATATATGTATAATGTCTGTCTAATGTCTGTCTAATATATGTATAATGTCTGTCTAATGTATGTCTAATGTATGTATACTGTCTGTCTGTCTGTCTGTCTGTCTGTCTGTCTGTCTGTCTGTCTGTCTGTCTGTCTGTCTGTCTGTCTCTCTGTCTCTCTGTCTCTCTGTCTCTCTGTCTGTCTCTCTGTCTGTCTCTCTGTCTGTCTCTCTGTCTGTCTCTCTGTCTGTCTCTCTGTCTGTCTCTCTGTCTCTCTGTCTGTCTCTTAACTATTTATTACCTACATTCAGGTGTTATTGGATTGTCTGGAAGTACTGACAGGAGTTTCAGAAGACTCCTCTGGAATTTCACTGAAAGTTGACCCGGAGACAGCATTTCCTTGCACTCTGACTATTCTAGCTGGTTAGTATTTATTGCAGAATAGTTTGAAGGATGTAAAGTTTGTTACAAGAACCTTTCATGATCTCTAGTAGTATATAACCGTTTTGACACTACAACTAATTTCAGGAGGATGTTTCGCTCTAGCGTTGAGATTTGCAGGTACAGCTAATAAAGCCGCTTTTAAGACAATCATGTTCTACCTTTACACCACGCACCACATCAGCAGGTTTATAAACAGCTTTTCCTTCTCGTTAATATTTAAGTAGATTCCCAAAAAAATATTATTAAATAGTCCTGAAGTTTTATTGACATGTTTCTAGATACGTTTCTAGACTGCAGAGATATAAATATTACGTAATATAGTTTACTCAGATCCCACAACTATCATATTTCCCACATATTTTCCTCATTTTTTCCCCACAACTTTCACATTTCCAGGCATCCTCGTGACTTTGCTGGTTTCTCTAAAGATCTGACAGAGATGTGTTTGGTTTGCCTCCTTGTCTCTGCCTCCATTGTCATGGCTGGAACAGGTAACTTCTTTCACTGATATAAACCGCATCTGTTCGTGTTGAATATTTAGGTTAATTTCAAATAGGGAGATATTGTAAAATGCAAGATACGACAATAGTGCCGTAATATCTTTTTCGTATTAATCTTAGGTATGTATGTAGAGTTACCCAGGTGAACTTATCACTTGATTTTACTTAATTGCCAGGGAACCTAGAGCTAATGAGACTTATAAGAAAGTTGAGGAAGAGAATAGTCCCAGTAAACACGTACGGTCACAACTTTGTCACGTACGGATGTCACATGGGCATTCACATGTCCCTCGGACTTCTCTTTCTTGGTGGTGGCAGGTAGGATGAGAACATTTTCCTCAAACTTGAAGTAAACATCGATATAAATTGCTCTTTATCTTACCTCATCTAGAGAAAGTAGCATCTAATGAACTTTATATCTTGAGTATATCTTGAGCTCGCAGGACTGAAAGTCCTTTCAAGGCAGCGTAGCGCGCGGGTCTCGCTTTAATTGTAAATAGGGACAGGTCACCGTCAATTCAATTCCAGGGATAACCACTTTATTTTGTTTAAAATTCATTTTGTATACTGTCCAAAAGCCCCTATGGGTGGCCTTCGGGTCTTTCTAAGGCAATTCGGTAATGTAGCTACGCACGGTCAAGGCACGGTTAAGGCACGGTTAAGGCACAATGGTTACATAAGGCACGGTTGAGGCACGGTCACTTAGGGCACGGTTAACGCACAAACTGCCCATAAGCAACCATTATGGTCGCTTAAGGCACGGTTAACGCACGGTTAACTAAGGCACATGATCTGAATGTGACGATCTGTAAATTTTACAGTGCGGTTCCCGCTATAAATATTATAATTTTAAAGCAACAGCCCTGCTTCGTGTGACCATCCTTTATTTGAAATCCTTATTTCGATTAACGATCTCTTCAAGTAACTAGGCTCTTCAAATTAAGTTAACATCTCCTAAGCAAGAATCCCGGGATTCATGCTTACTAATTATGTACTCACTAGACGGACATTTTCTTCGAGTTCACATCTGCACAACTATTTATTTGAGCGAGGTGATCTGCACAACCTACTTCGCAGTCATGTACCAGTAGCTCAGATCACATCACCCACCCTTGCTGGCTTGCTGCATGATGACACCACCCGCACACCTATCAATACATGCAAACTTTATCTCGTTGAGCAGCTGTTTATTCACTATGCCATACCTCACGGTTAGGGAACAAAGCTGAGGTATTACCTCAGCTTTGTTCCCTAACCGTGCCTTAACCGTGCCTTAGTTAACCACTTGTATGTTTATAGGTTATATTTCCCCAACCGTGCGTTAACCGTGCGTTAACCGTGCCTTAAGTGACCGTGCCTCAACCGTGCCTTATGTAACCCTTATGCCTTAACTGTGCCTTAACCGTGCCTTAACCGTGCCTTAACCGTGCGTAGCTACATTACCGAGTTGCCATTCTGAGTTCTGTATGACTTTACCCTACAATTCCCAGATACACTCTGAAGCGCGATAATGAGTCTGTAGCGGCCCTGTTTCTCAGCTTGTACCCAATCTTCCAAACTTGTCAAGACGACAACACGTACCACCTGCAGGCTTTCAGGCACCTCTGGGTCATTGCAGCTCAACCTAGGTAAGTTGGGTTATTAATCTCAACATTCTATTTTTCGGTGTATTAATCTACATGTGGTGGATTTGCAGTTTTCAGCTGAATTTAATCTTTACAAAGTGTGTCAACAATGCTGTGTCCTAGTTTTGATATGATTACGTGCTTTAAATCTAACTGGACACTACCAAACCATATGTTTAGCATTAAAGACACAGATGTGACAGAATTGTTTACTATAGAGTATAGACACATCTCCCATATTATATATCTTGGAATATTTTCACAGAAAATGATATTTACATTTGTTCCAATAATATTAATGTCACCTAGATTGCTGATAACAGTTGACGAGCACACAAACACTCCCTGTTACGTTCCAGTGACTATCACCACCTCGCCCGACTGTGTACCACGTGACATCACTGACCTGTCACGTGATGCGAGGAAATGCTCTCCTGATTTAATGGACCAATATAATGATATCTCCCGCTCTGTCTTTACCCCTGTAATGCTGCCTGAATTTGATACCATCAAGAGTTTATCAGTCATTGGGGAGCGTTACTGGCCAATAACAGTGAGTGATGTGGAAACTTTAAAGAAAGGATTCCTATACGTCAAAAAACGGGCTGGATTTCTTGAGTATAAAGATGATCCTGAGGGAAAGATCAACACATTGGGCCGGGGGGATAGGTTTACCACGCCCATCATTGATACCATTAAAACCTTCTCTAAAGATGAAAGTATTTTATTGTTCGCTGAGAAGTTTTGTGCCGCTCAGAGCTCTTCTTCAGGAGTGGAGTTCTGTACTGAGCAGTTGTTGAGCTGCTTGTTGGAGGAACGAGCTCAATATCTGCCCTTCTACACCACTTTACACAAAACTTTTACCTCATTTGTCGACTCACCTGATCCGGTACAAGCTGAGAATATCAGACTTATCGTTACATTTTACGAGGGAAAAAGATCGACTCACCTGTTCTCGAGCAAGCTACTCTCCAAGTTAAGCTACAGGTTGGAGGAACTGTATAAGGACGCTGCAGTGGCTGAACCTAAGGCGGAACTGCCGCTCAGTGACATAGCCAAGAAGACCATAAACTCTCATCGCTGGGTAATAGAAACTGATAACGATTCAAGTGATACCAATGTGTTGTCCGATGTTGCCGAAACCCTGTCTGCGAAACAGCCGCGGGAAGTCGTAGCAAAGTTTATGGAGCTGTTGACAATTTCAGGGGTCTGATAATTATAATTATACCGTCCGAAAGTCGTCATGTTTTTTGTTTGACTATATGAATTATTCATCAATGTAATAGTATAAGTATCGCGGTTTGAGGAGCTGATAAAATCTATGCGTAATATCTGTTTTAAACTTGATCAATGTGGCCATTCACAATTCAGCCACGAAATGGCCGATTTAACAAAAATCAGGTATCGTGACGTGAAACAAGGCTTTGACGGATGATACTCTTCAAAATTTCTTCGAAGTAGCGCGCGCGTACCGCTTTTTTCTCGAGATATGAACGAAACTTCGAAGTAACGCACGCCCGGTCAGTCTTGTTACACGTTGTATACCTCTCGTGCACGCCGGCGCGCGCTCAAAAGGGGTTACAGCGTGTGTCAAGGTCAGTCCATTAACAATTAAGTGATTAACAATGGACAAGTCATGCAAAGTGTAGTGTAAAAGTCGCTTAATTTGACGAAATTCATCGATTTTCTTCGTATTACTATTATTCCTTGACGGATGTTACTCGTCTAAATTTCTTCGAAGTAGCGCGCGCCGCTTTCTTCTCGAAATGTTAGACTAGGTAGTGCGCCATCGACAGTGAGCCGCGCGTGCCGACTGTAGGATGGTTTTTTAGCGCTAATTTCGGCCAGCACAATTTTCTTCAAACAAATAGATATTAAGTATCCTTCCCGACCTCTGATTGCAACAAAAATTGGTAAGCTTACTCATAGACTTACAAGGAAAGTGTCCGAAAAGTTTAAAGCATATCCAACCATCAGACATTATGTTACAGCTGAAAGCAGCGTATTTTGCCCCATTTTGATCACTATATCAACTCCGATATCCACCAAATTTTTCGGACAGTTGTGAAAGCCCTATTGGAAGGTCGTCGCCAATTTTCAGAATGATCTTATTCAAGGAACTGAAGATAAATCCAAATAATACGACAAAAATCAACGAATTTGGTCAAATTTGGTCAAATTACGCGACTTTTACAGCTAATTTTGCTCCAAAAGCCGCGCACCATCAAATGTGGCACCTAGGCGAAACTCACTGATCTTTCCAAAAATGTATGACAAATTTGGTATTGTGAAAATTCTCACAGTCTCTAGAAAACAATGGTACAAAAATTTTTAAAATCCGAGCAAGTTTATTTTTATGGTGCACCCCCTAGTTAGACGGCAAGTGCTACGAAGTAGCGCGCGCCGGGCCAGACCATTAACAATGGTCAATATTATTCCGCACGTCGACATACCCGGATGGGATCATTTTGAAAATTTGTAAAGACCTTCCGATTGGACTAAAGAAACTTTGGTGGATATTGGAGTTTATATAGTGATAGAACTATGGGGGAAATGTGTTACCTAGCTTGCTAGCCTATTGCTCGCTCCTCTCTATGAGTATGTACGCTTATGAACATATTGACATACGTTGCATGCCACTTTTCGCGCGCGAAGCGCGCGCCGCCGATGATATTTGGATACGAAACATGTATCAATTTGATACATGTTTCGTATCCAAATATCAGAGATATTATGGATACACCATGAAGGAACACCTCTGCGCGGCGTAAGTAAATTTGCAAGTTCGCGCGAAAAATTTTCTTATTTTCCTGGCGGATTAGGGGTGCTGGAAGAGCTGCATTATAGAGTCCACTAGTATTTAATATTAGCCTGTACTGGCTCAATAAAATGTGACATCCAGATCAGTAAAATTAGGGGTGCTGGAAGAGCTGCATAGAGTCCACTAGTATTTAATATTAGCCCCAAAAAAGCGGTCCCGGTCGAGCCTTGGCTTTAACGAGATGGAAGCAACCAGAGAGATGGTTAGATGTATAAATTTGGGGATCGAAGTGGTTTGCAATAACCAGAGAGATGTTAAACAAATTGAACAACAGGTTGTACAAAGAAGCATGTGTAAAGAGTTATCGCTATCGAGTGATAAAAAGGACAAAGGAGACAGCATAGATATGATCGTATGCAGCTAGACGCCAGCTAGCTCATCGCGGTGTCACATGACTTTAATACCACGATATCATTGGTCATCTATATATCCAATGCGAAATATAAATATAGCGCGTTTTTCATGAATTAGTAGCGCCGTACAAAAATTAAGCAGTTTGGAACAAAATTACAAGTTTTCAGTTTACAGAAATATTGAAACATTTCAATTTTTGTTTGCATGAAGGTTCTAATGACTTAATATAGTCGTTTAGATAATAAAAATACTACAAAGATACCAAGTAAACTCACAAATATTGCAACTTGGCTAAAAACAATGCATTTAACTGTTTTGGTGGCGCGCGCGCGCGCCATCTCAGTCAATTACTCCCATATTTGGTCAAATAGGATAATAGGGACGCAGAATATGCGTCCCTCTGAAAAGTCCGATTCCCTTCATGGTATGCCCCTTTTTCCGCCTTCGGCGGCGCGCGCTTCGCGCGCGAAAAGTGGCATGCAACGTATGTCAAGTATCAATGAACATAATAGCCTGGGGTCCCCATGTAATTCGGAATCAGCGTTCAAAAATACATCGATTCAAGTTGGTTTCAACTGTCAGAGGCCTTTTTAGGAAGCACGATGGGACCACGTTGAATAGAGCCGCGCTATTTTCTATCCCGTTTGGCGCTGCTAGTCGCGCTTGCGTCCGCGCGTTACGCGTACGTCATGTAAAATATTGAAATCACAAATGCGACCTTATTGTTGCGCGCGCGACCATGCGCTACCCATTTCCATGTTATGAATTAAAAAATCGACGTACGACCACAGTTTGTAGCGCGATGCACTACTGGGTAGCGCGCGCATCAAATAATGCTTCTCGCAACCACAGTAGTGTGCAAACCAACATTCGAACCACCAGCAGCTGGTGGTCAATTTCCTACGAACGCGACTTAATTTTGGTTCAGACTGGAGTCGAGCGCTACGTTATAGCTGTATATATAGCTCGTTTCACGACGAAATCTTCATTTATTGAGTTTGTCTGTCGATTATGTTGGAGTTTGTATTTTTAATTTTGTACTCGAATACTGTTAATTTATTTTTATTAAATAGTTGTTTTTCGTAACAGCACACTAGTACGTGATTCCTTTTGTTATTCTTACATAATTAGGAAGATTTTAAACTTCAATACTATAAATAATCAAATATTTACGAACACCGATCATCGGTATGTGCCCATTATGCATTATTGGTATCGAAGTCTTATGTTGAGCTGGATATCGAAAAATTTCAAAATGTAAGGCTGTAATTTTGTACTTGTTTAGGTGTAGAACTAGGATTAACAACTTGATTGCTAGGAGCTAGGAAGAGATTTTAGTAATGATGACCCTTTAAACTTAAACTATATCTCTAGTGCACTTCGATCGGTTTTCTTTTCAATTTTGATAAAACCTAGTCGTGATCTTTGTTTCAGAACTTCACTAATTTATTAAGTTTTGTAGTTTATATAGACGGAACATGAGCAGATACCATTTGATTAATTATAATATATCCGATTTGAAATATTATTCTGTCGGAGTTTGAGTTCAACATGGACACATTTATTAACATCCCGCATGAATTTGTGTCGTCTTTACAATTTTTTGCGCTGAATTTGTATGCTTATTAATACTGCCGCATGATATCAGTAGCTGCTATAAAACTAGAGTGTATAGCATGTGTATTATACGATGTTTCCCACGTAAAAATCGCAGGTTGTTTTGGTGCGGCTGGGCACTCTACTGGTGATTGACACCAGAGACTGAGAAAAACTTTGACATAATTTTCAAGTTTGATATGACCTAATAACTACCACATTTACAGGAAGTATGGTAATACATTCTTGTCAGCTGTCTGGGCAAATCTTCTCTCGCAGAATTGGATTAAAATTTAATGTATTTTATTTCTCACTTCCAACGATGTCGCAATTATTAGGTAAAATTTGAAGTTATTTTGAGATTCAATTAATAAATTTTAGATTGCAGCTTGATATCACTTAGTATGTACATTGTACTCGGTTGCAAGGGTAGAACTTATGAGAATACTATCATAGTATTATTGCACTATACTATTATGGGTTCATCAAAGTTCGTATCATGATTTGTCACAATTAAACCATCGAGTCACTTGAGGAAACCCGTTAAAGCTCGCAATTGGCGACGAGATAAAGTTTGTGGTACCTCTAGATGTTAAGTTAACTCTTAGGCTCCAATCTTCCTTACTATACCTACCACTCCTTCTTCCTTGATAAGAAGTAGATCCATCTGGAACAGTGAGCTGCTTCTTCCCTTCTATCCCGTACTAGCCTACTCAGCTCTCTCCAAACCGTGAACAACTACTCCCGGTGCTAGAACTTTAACCGCATAATTATAACAGCACAATTCTTTCGCTTGAATCTCAGTCTGCTGTAAGACTGCTGAATCACTTGTATGATTCAGCAATCTGCTCTTTAGATGGTACCGTTACCTCCCGCCATAAGACTGTGCCGTCTTGGTGACCTTGAGAATATCATAAGGTCCGATATATAAAAGCACTATCCAATATCGAGACCCACTCAGGATCCCAAACCACGACTCCTTTCGGTCGTCTGTACTTGCTTTTTTCCTCCCAGCATGGACTAAGTCAATGATACTGTCTTACATCGCTGGCCTTGTTCTTATAAGTGTTCACTCGGCGCTCACAAGATAACATGTTCAGAGATCTGTTGCAGAACCTTGTCGTGCCGTCATTTATATACTCCTTGACTAAGAGCTACTTTACACCTACAGCAAAAATGTGCTAAATGATACCCATCCTCTCCTCACATTACTGTACTTGCACTTACCATCCTCATCTTCGCCATAGAGGTGGTTAAGAGGGTGACGTACACAGCATCTAGCACGAATCCAATAAGTGAGTCTACAGTGCGTGTCGAAATACATTGCATGTACCCTTATATATTAATTGAGACAGAATTTTAATAAATCAACAAATTCTTAAAATTTAAAAAGGTAGAATTTAATTCTATGGCATTTATTGAAACCTGCTTTTTTAAAGTTGAGAATTGGTTTCAATTTCTAGAATATCACGATAATGTTGACTCAAAACTGTTTCAGGCAGCTATCAAGTCTCAAGATATGACATAATTTGATAGAATGTTAGTACCAACGCTATCAGTGCATTGAAGTCGAGTTCTCGATACAGGTATTATAATTAGGTTCTATCGACCGTTTTTGTAGTCTTAACTCATTTTTATTTGTTATTATACGACCAATTAAAACCTAGCAAACCAGACTTCTTTATGTGCTAAATGTTACTTTAACCTTAATAATAGCAGCATTGTGGCAGATATCCAGTTACATTTTTTCCAGCCGTAGGTATATTATAAATATACAGGGTGGGCCAAAAGTCAGTGTGCAAACGTTGGCATTAATAGCTCAGTCACTGAGTGCCCAATTGAAATAATTGGTTCTGGTATGACTTACTACCACCACTGGTTCGAGAAATTTGTCAAATCGAAACATATTTGTGTTCATTGTTTTCAAAAGAAGGTTCATTTTCGCATTTATTTGATAGTTTGGATAATCGGATCGAGCCAAATTTTATTGAATTGTGTTTAGCCATTTAAATTACGTGTGCTCTAAAAAAATGAGAGTATATATATATTACTCATGCAACTAAGATAAATTGAGTATAAATACTCAATTTATCTTAGTTTAAGTTCCAAGTTATATAACTCATTTTCTAAAGGTCTCGTAAACTTTAATCAATTACAGAGGGTGTGGCCTCTTTTTCACTGAAAAGACGCCATCAGATTTCATTGCATTCTGGGACCAATTTTGGTGTGATTTAAAGTATCCTACAAATTGGTGTTTACTGTTTCGACTTTTGTAAAATCACTGTAACAATATAATCTGTATTCTTATAGTTTCAACCATAAAAGTGAAATAGAGGGGCTGGCCAATAGCCACACCCTCTGTAATTGATTTAAGTCTACGAAACTTTCAGAAATTTGTGTGTAATTCGGAGATAAATTAAACAAGTTGTTATCGGCCACCATGTGTAAACGGAATGTTCTAGCAGACTGTATAATACTATAACATACATTTTCTTACACACACATAATCTAATCTCTGGAATGTTGCTATGATATCAATGGCAATGTTTTGATACTGTGTATTATCATGATTATGCCTTACAGGCCGATCTTCCGATGGAGTTTCGGTTGCCATGGCAACACATCAATATGATAAAGAATTTGTAAACGCAGTCACAACTCTGTCGTGTACACGGTACGGTGCGAGCGGTTATTTTATGATAGGTAACATCTACTTTTTCAGCATTTGCGGGATGACCAGTTCACACGTATATTTTCGCAGACACAACTTCGCATAAAATTATATCCAATTATTCTATAACCAATTATCTACACGGACTTCTGTCTAAATATGAATGAAATCGAGAAAACCAAATATTATATGTTTCATCCTGAAGTGCTGAGTTCTCAGGCAGTATAATCATGATCCTGATAGATATCGAAGTCTCCTTAAATGATTGTCTCTGCTGCTTAATATATCTGGATTGTCGTTGGGAGGCGATGCAGATTTGTTTACTTTTAAGGGGGAGGTTCTGCTCAGCAGGAGAAAGAGGTGATGCACATTTTGTATTTGTCTGACATGTAGGACTTGAGCCACGTTTCCGTAAGTGCAATAAACGGTAACGAGTGGTTTTTGGATTTCTCCTGAATAAGACCTGAGATTTTTGGCACTTCCCATATACTCGCACTTGATGCACTAGGATTCATGGACTGGACATTTTTAAGACGAGGCATGAGGAATAACGGGCACGTGCAGTGTATCCTCTGAGGCGGTAGGAACTGCTGGTAGTGGTATAGTGGGAGCGCTGTTCCTGGCTGAAGAGGTGGATGTGGTCTGGCCTGGGGTAGTGGTAGGGCATTTGAGTTTGAGGGAGGCTGGACCGGTGGTCGACTATTTCTGATAGGAGTCCGATCCTGGTTTGCATCGTTTCCAACAGTCTCCGTAACTATAACAATCCTGTGATCTGGTATTGGTTACTTAAACTTATTTAATTGAACATGGTGTTTGACGTTGGAGCTTATCACTTTACAGTTTACATCACCTTACCTGAATAATTGAATAGGATGAATACTGAATAGCATTTATTAATGCTTTCTTTACCCGGAGAACTCTGTTTTACTTGTCCCTCACACAAGACCGTGAGCCGTGACACTTAGTCACAATAATTAAGTCATAAGTCAGAAAGAAGTCCATAATTCGTACACCCATGATTATGTTAAATATAGATTGACTCCAGTCTCCATTGTTCAATGACTTCGTCAAAATGTTTCAGGAAAATGTTCACAGATTTGTTAATTTTGGACTCAAATTAACGTTGAGAAAAACTGAATTTATTTTGGAAAAATCCCGGCTAAAACCAAAATCCCGGCCGGTACCGGTACAAAATCGCCAAATACCAGCCGGTATTCCGGCTGCGCCGGTTATATCCCGGTCGAGTTCTGTCTGAGACCTAATTTTCTCTATTTCTCGTGCAATTTTAGATCAGACACGGTCATCTAAATTATTTAATAAGAAGGTTTAAATTATAAGCAATTAAAAACAGTTGGGACTATCATTGTTTGTGAGTACATATTATACGAATATAAGGTGGTTAATATAATTATAACACATTTAATATAAAACATTTAAGACACATTTTTTTATTCCTGCATTGTACTCATTAATTTAACTAGTAATATTATATAAAAACCACATTTCTATTTGTACAGGGAGCTGCTGGTAAACTACCGCGACCGTCGCTATACATCGACTATGACTACAATCCTACTTTTAAAAACAAACTACATACATATCTCACATTTGCGAGGACTACTTCATCACAAGCAAAAAATCGACATAGGTAAATAAAGGTAGGTTCTTTTCACTGACTTCGTTAAATGAGTTACATATTTTCACACAAATTACGTGCGTGATCATTAAAGGGTTGCTTGTGTGCAGTTACTTCTGGGCCAGCGCCACCCTGTTGGGAGTTTTCACATAAGTAAATTTGCCGATAATACAATTTTACTCATTCTGGACATGTTACCTATATTATCATTATACTAGTATTTCTTCAGGTCTGTCTTCTATAACCACGATGAAAAGAAAAGCTGGGCGAAAACATTTGAGACTGCAGATTGCAGAACTGGAACACTCTATTTGAAGACAGTGGCTGCTGAGTGCTGAGCTGCATCAAATCTATCAGCATCATGTAACTTCGATCAGGAACAGACTCCATTTCATTTCCGACAACTAGCACCTGTTTTCCCTAGACTTACCAAGTATTAAGTAACTGCATTAGTATTAGGTTAAATTAAAGGCCTTACATCGAACAAGTCTAACAATTAAAACTTAAATGTAAGAGTGCACAATTTATCACTAAATATCTTCCTCTTTTAATTCTAATCAACACACGGTTTCGTCTTTGTTTCACCCAATCGTGCTGATAATCAGTAATCATGCACTCTGCACTCTAACTTCGAGATGTTTCAAAAGGGCTCCCGACGAGTTGAATTAGATCAATATTTTCTTTTGATACATAGTCTATACTGATTGGGAGGTTCATCATACTATTCTTGTCACATGGTAACGATTAACGATTAGCTGATCAGCTTCCAGCATCGACAGGCCGAAATCCATAAATATAATCAGTTGTAATTTAATATTTATCATCGTCCGGATCATCATAATATTTTAATTTAAAGTTACAATTGAACGGTGTTAAGAAAGATAATTTAAGAGAAATGTTTTGAAAGTGCCTGATTTCGAGTATAAGATCTGTACTGATACATTAATTTTCAGATTGTTATTATAGTTTATTTGTATTTTTTATATTATCTTATCCGCACAAGTTCGGAAGCCATCTGAACGCTATTGCCAGACACAGGCATATATTTATTTTGGGGTATCATGCTCTCAGAAATTTCAACTCAGTCCGATATTATAGTTATACTAACCTGCATTGCATAAGGTTAATTGTCTCGCAGTCTAGTGCATAAACCTTTTATTTTGTATAAACCCTTTATTTTGATTGGGAAAACTTTATTTTAATGTGGTTACCGTCTCTAAAGTTGGCATGATAGTTAATAAACTCTTATCTATTATGTCACTGAAGATGACGCCTTGCAACATGTTTGACGATAGCCTGTAGATTGATAGTTTGATCTAAGTATTTACAACAATTCATCTAGTTTGATTGATTCAAAGGGAAACAAATTCCTCTCTTATCTATTATGACTATATTTAAATTCAATCCTGTAAAGTGATACTCCTTTTTTAGTAATTTAAACATGTGTTTTCTCCTTCTGATTTTTAAACTATTACCGGTCACGCTGAATAATAATGACATCAGTGAATTTAAAGCTATCGTTAACATCACTCAGAAAATGCGCGTCTTTAGCGCGTGTCTTGTTGTTATGCATCAATCCTTCGGTAGATCGGCGAGATGCACCACTGTGCCTCACCGAGCTGCGAAGGATTGACATCGTGAATCAAGACCACAGTATATAAATTTTGAAACAATTAATTATTTGGTAATTGATGCATCTAGAGTCATTTTAATATAGCTTGTATACATTTTTATTGTTATGCATAGATAGATAGCCTGATGAATCGAGCGCTAATTCTAATGCAGAAGAAATGACTACTTATGAGCAAGCAAACCGCCTAGTTTGATGTTAACTTTCGTATTCTTTACTATTTAAGCAAATTGTATTGTTGGCTGTAGTCGGATCCCAACCGTTCTAAAAGGCTATCTCGTTAGCTTTTCGTGTTAAAAGCGATTTCTCAACGGTTATCACCTCTCTAGATGATTCTTAAAACATTTGGACTTCATTGCATTTTTGAAATAAATGCAATGAGGGCGTTTTCGGCCACACCCTTTTTCAGGGTTTCGCGGTCACTCGAATTTTTCTATTTCAGCCCAGGAAGGTCTTAAAGACTATTTCGATACACCAAAATGTGCCTAATAGCCACATTTATATACAACTTATGAAGCAACATATACCTTAAAATGCTTCGTTTCGGAAATATGGCCGAAAAACGGTTTTTGGCTTGACGCAGTTCATAATTTCCATGATTTTTGGCTTTTCCGCCTAGGAAGGTCGTAGAGACTATTCTGATACACTAAAATGTACATAATGGCCACATTTATATACAACTTATGAAGCAACATATACCCTAAAAGGCTTATTTTCGGAAATGTGGCTGAAAAACGGATTTTTGCCGAGCGAACAATGACAATATTCACAAATGGGCTATTGGACTGTTAACTAGAAAGGTCTTAAAGACTCATGAGCAACACAGCATTTGTCACAAGATGTAAGATGACTCACTTTGTGTCCAGAAACACCTACAAAAATTGGAGAATGATCTACTTTATTGGGCATCTCTCTTAATGGGCCAGGCCAGCAGCATATTTGGGTCTTACGAAATGGCAATTTTTCAAAATTACGGTTTCTTTAGTAAAGGTCAATGGGTCAGTTGCTAACAGCAAATTGTTCGCAATTGCCGACTCATGCACATCATATACTCAAAAACGCTCACTTTAGGAGTCATTAATAAATAAGTTTAACTACTAGTACTGCATGATTTGTGAAAACTCCAACAATTTTTCCTTGGTACCAATTTAAATAAAATGTGTGACGTGCCAGACCAAAATTCAACTTCAAACTTTTTATTTATTCATGCCATGAAACCATAATATATGTACCAAGAATACCGGACCTAAAATAAATCGGCACTGGATCCGGGCCAGATTGTCGCTTGACCACTGACCAGTACCCCACTTTATAATCATAATTGACTTCACTGCCACGACCAATATTGGTCTGTAATCCCTGGATTGAGATCTGTTGGCTGCAGTTTAATTTAGCTCATTTACCATAATAGTAATACCGCAGTGGTTTGGTTCGCATAGATTTTCCCATCGTATGATAATGTGTGTCATTCCCTCGTTTTTTAATCAAGTGGTTACTGGCTAGCTCTTTTTTATTACAGCTGCCACGAGATCTTATCTAGGGCACTAATACATTAGTACTAGAACATTAGAACTGTAATTCTAGAACTTCAGATTAAGATTACTTTGCCGAATGGCAGGGTTCGAGATTCGACTCTAAAACGCTCAGTTGCAGTTTAGGAGTGATTAGTTGATAACTACTGCATGATATGCGAAAACTCCAACTAGACAAGGATCATGCTTAATCAAAGTGTTCCTCGACTTGAACTTAAGTCTTGTAACCTACTGGAGTTTGGGCCACTGAATTGAATACGACCTGATATTAATTTTAGGATGTCGGGAAATTCATTAAGATTTTTATTCTTTGGTTTTTTAATTGTGCTACGAATCCGAGTTTGAGTTGATAACACCGAATTTCCTGTTTGACTCTCAAAGAGAGGAACCAAGGCTTACGTTCCTCTTTTTGGCTCTGAGATCCAACTTTAAGATCAGACTTCGGAGATCTTCGCGTCGGAGATCATGTAAGTGTAACATCAGTACATGAGATCAGACTTTTTTGCTTGATATTGAACCTATAAATCTAATTATATATTCGAAACAGCACGGGATGTAACCAAGGTTAATTTAGATAAGATATACCAGCTTTCGGGGTTACAAGACCCCACGAAAGGCTGCCAGAGCATCCTAAATCCTCATGCTATCCTCACGTTGACCATCTAGGTCCAAACTCCAGCCTTTCATTAAAAAACAAGTATTAGGCCCGAGATCCGTCCCTTGTCCCGTAGTGTCCCGTAAGTAAGAGATCGTTCAGATTTTGGTCATTTAGACCCCCTCCCCGCTCTAAAATCCACTTTACCCAAAGCTGGAAAAATTTCACATGTGAAACCTAAATAGCTAAATCAGCATCTCGAGACCTTCTATTATAAAAACCCCGTGATCCTACTATAAGCTTTTTTTTATCTCACACTTATTTTACTTCGGAGTATTCCAACAGCCACATTGTTACACAAGTGTAACTAGCCAATTACAGGAAGCCGAAGGATTTAATTAGGCCAGTGACGGTTAAGGTAGTGTGTACCATACTTTCTTCGCCCGAGACTTCGCTGCAATGGACAGCTTCTCATTCAACCCTCACACACGATTTCTCGAATATTCGGCTGAGTAGACCGGGGGGCTGCATAGACCACTCAGGATCTTTAGCTGAATGTCGACGACACTCACCCCACGACTAGGCAGGCAGTGGGTTTCGAACTCGCAATCTCACGATTACAAATCCGATGATTAACCAACTACGCTACCTGGCCTTATAACTTGTAAGGCATAAAGGCATTGCATGCCGAAATTAAGATTCACTTCAACTGGTGATGTGAACCTGGTATGTTACCTGAATGCCCTCAGTCAAATCTCGAACCCTGCTAATGCTATTCTGCCAAGTAACCTTAATCTGAAGTTCTAGAATTACAGTTCTAATGTTCTAGTATTTGTGCCCATGCCCCAGATAAGATCTCGAGGCAGCTCACAGCTGTAATAACAGAAGAAATAGCCAGTCACCACTTGATTAAAATCGAGGGAATGACACACATTATCATACGATGGGAAAATCTATGCGACTGAAAAAAATAATATGGGGTCATTCTTGTTTTATTGGTTAGACGGTGCAATGATAGGCAGTAATTGTAGTGTAAAAACAGCCCCACCACTCCTATGGAGATAGATGGTTAGTCATCTTAATAAATAAATAAATGAATATAAATACAAATACAATCCATAATAGAAATAGAAACACTGCAGCGAT